GGGTGAAAGAAAGTGTTTGTGACAAGTTAGATATATTTTTATTACTCAGCAATATTTTATTTGCCTTTAGCTAAAGATCTCACACTTAAAAAAAAATAATCAGAAATTCCCTTTGCAATTTTCCTTGCTTTTTTGCATTTGTAATTGAGCTGTCTAGGGGATTCTCTACGCCCTTGATTGATTTGCAAAGGGTTTCCCCCAAATCAGCTTAGAAATTACAACCAGCTCATGGTATTTAATAAGAGTCTGGGAATCTTAGGGGACACCTTACAGCCAGTTACATAAGGCATTTCCCACGCTGCTCCCAGAATATCACTCATTCTGGTCGCCCTTCTTTTGGATCCCTCGCAGATCTTTTTGTTTAATTGTATAAATCGGCTACTGGTATTTTCATGTGTAAACAAATGTTTTACCTAAGCCTCTTCGCCCCTTGAAGTTTTAAACCAAAAAAGAAAAAAAAGAAAAGACAAATCATCTTGGCCAGGCCTGCTGGGGCTAACCAAATGAGCTGTGTTGGTCCCTTTGTATTCTTGGACCTTTGACTGAATCTCGGCTTCTGTTTCTGCCCCCATTTCTGCTGTTTCATCGTAATTATCAACTTGAAAAAGCGCTCATTACTCCTCAAAGAAGGAAGAAACCGAAAAGAGAAGGTTGCCAACCCAATCATTGTTAGAAAGTGAAGCTACCTGTTGTATGGTCACTCTTCTCCATAAACAAGTTACACGAGTATCCCAAAAAAAGTGAGTAGACCTGATTGAAGACTTCTGGTTGCCACTTTCAGCTGGAAACTTTGACTGTGGTCAGTGTGTGTGACAAAAAAAAACCATATCACTTGGAATAATATCTGAAGCGAGGAAAAGAAACCCTTATAATCCCTGCCACCCTCAGTTCTCACAGTTTCAACCCTTCGCAGGAACTCATAAATTTTTAACAAGATCAGTTTGGCACTTGTCTGGCATAAATCAAAACCAATTTAATGGGCGAGTACACAACCCATAGCTTAAGTAAACATTTCAATTTGGCAAAACCCCTTAACCACCCTATCACCAAAAAGTAAATATAGATCACAGTTTGATAATCCTATATTCATCTTTAAAAAAAAATCTCAATTGAAGCCCGCAGACCTATAAATCAATAGAATTAAAAACCAGAAATTGATTTCAAAGTCAGAGTGGCTCCCACGCTGCTTCTTTTTAAGATATTTTAATTATCCAGAGGAAGCACAAGGCCAGCTAACGGTCGTCCGAGGGAAAAGCCCCTGGGACAGGAAGTGCTTGGTCAACTATAAAAAAAAAACACGCCCAAGTGGAATGACAAGCAGGCGGGAAAGGATACAGATGTGGGTAGTTGGACGTCACGTGCGGCTTTAATTGATTTTTGGCCAGGCGATTTGCATGGGAATCATTTGATTCCGTTTCCCAGAAGGGCCTAGCCCACTAATTAACCAGGGAGCGACAACAAATATTGTGTTAATAACCATAAATTGAGGCCCACCCGAACCTTAACCCCTTAGCTCTTCGATTTGCATAGCTCTGCGAACTGCAAGCTAAAAAAACCGCCCCATTGTCTAACAAACTTCTTTTCGGCATACCTGATGGGCAACCGAGTGGAACCCAGAGCGAACCCAATGTAAATACGAAATTTATTTATTTTCATTTAGTTGCACGCGTTAATTTATGCCAGTCAGAGCGGTCTACGTCTTCGTTCGCTCTCCCGGGCCAACCACATCCGAAAATTATACAATAAAATGTAAAATAAACTCGAAGTTCTTATTGCCAATGGCTATTTATACGAGCAGCCTGGACGGACATTGAAAAACCACAAGAAAGTGCAGCACCCCCCGCTGACCCACTGGCCACCTCAAAGTCCCCTCCCCAACGAACCTTGTCAATCTGCCAGGGAGCACCAGGCATCCACAGATATCGAAGAAGTGACTGGCAAACTGACAGACAGGCAGACACTCCAGTCCAGAACGGAAGCAGTTGGGCTTTGAATAATTTATGAAAAATCACCAAGGCCCGTGGTGAGGTGCAAAAGTGGCATATCAATTTGGCGGGAGAATATTGAATGGGAATTAACTTAAAATTGACACTTTTTGTTCAGTTTTTAAAGAGATTATAAATATAAATCTGAAAATTAAAGAAAATTAAACCTGAGAGTTCTAAAAATAAGATCTAAAGTTAGCGAGCCTCGAAAAAGTCTCTCAAAAAGAACTTAAACCCTTGCTTATAGTAACTTCTATATTATTCCCTGTTGATTTAAAGTTACTCTGCTTAAAACAGCTACTATATTCTGCTTTAAAAATAATAGTTTAAGATAAAAGTATTAGGTTGATAAAACATTCCTGAAGACCAAAGGTTCTTAGCCATCCCATAAGCCATCCTATCAATCACCTCATCATTAATATGCCAATGACAGTTTGTTAGCCCCCGAATATGGAGTTGGGGGACTTTGTGGTGTGGCCACTTCCTAATTTGGTTCCGCTATTTGCCGTCACATACATTCTTTTTTCCCTTCGTTAAATTTATTATTTAATTTGCTGTGTGGGTGCTTGGTGTATGGAATGCCAAGTGCCAAATGCAGCGGCGGTCAACAGCTTTATAAGCCAAATGCAAATCAAAATTGAGGAGGAAAGCCATCACAATAGATGGGAGGAGTCGCTGGGCAAGTGGTAGTTAAGAATTAAAAACAGTAAAAGTTAATGAAATTGAGCCATAACGGATGTTGGATCTACGTTGTCCAATTTTGGAGGCGGCTTACTTCCTTTTGGGCGTGCGGTGTGACCGCCATTTGACCTTCATGCCAAATTATTTTGATTGTCCCGCTCGCCTGGCTTTCTGTTTCAAAGCTCATCTGCATAAGTCTGAGCAATTAACAAGCCGAACAGGAACAGCACACAGTTTATGTCGAGCTAAGCACTAAATTAGCTCGCTTAGCCTGGGAATATGGCTGGAGGAAAGACGCTGGAATAGAAGAATGCTCGCATACCAGAGCCTCGACTTCCGCCTGTCTTTGGGAGATGGGAAAGAATGCGACCGGCATGGAATTTCGATTTACCCAGACCAGGTGAATAGGTGGGAATGAGATGCCAAAGCCCACAGTGAAGTGGGTTACATGTTATACTACTACCTGTGGGTGATTTCGATAGTTCATGATGGATCCGGTGGGTTACAAAGGAATGTCGCGTGAACAGGGCAATTGTTGTAATGGTTCTGGTAAGACGTCACTGGCTCCATTAGATAAAATTCCAAACAATGTCATTCAAAAGAGGGGCATCTGTTGCTGTTTAACTTTTTCCAAACTGCAAGTTTTCGATGCAAGAAATACTCTTATATCAATTTATCTGGAGAACTTTTATTAAAAACTCTTCCCGTTACAAAAATGTTCTATAAATTATAAACTCATCTTCTTTCGCGAATTTGTGATGCATTCCAGCTTTATGGAAATTTGCAATTTGAGCTTCTCCCCCGTTAATTAGCAACTCAGTGCACACTCATAATGCCCGGCCTATCACCTGGCGTAGCCACAAATATAGCTTAAAACACGAATGCATTTTGTTTACCTAACCAGGCAATGAACTCTGTGGCGCTTCAAACAAAAGACTTAGGCAACGAACTCGGTCGTTTGGGGGGGAGACCCAGAGACCAGAGACCAGAGATGTTGAATGCCAAAACAGGTTTTGGCCAAACGATCAACGCAATTCCATAGAGCCCGGCAGCAGTGCAATGGATTTGAAGAGTTCTACGCATTGGCAACCCTCTCCCTTTTGCACCCACCATCAGCGGTGGCAGGTTCCCAATGTTCGATATTGCTCCTTTTTTCCCAGGCCCTGACAGGCGTAAACGTGTTCACAGACTTGGGTGAGTCATCCAATGGAAGTGGTGGTGCCAGGCACAGATTTCAGAGCATAACAGGTAGGAGAATTTCACAAGATTCTGCATGCCGAGGCTCAGACGTTCTTACCTCTATCAAAATCGATTTGGCAGACTTAATTTGGGTTTGTCTATGGTTGCCTTTTTTCATATGGCTAAGAAGGTCCTTAGATTGTCTGGATATAAGATTAAGATATACATGGACAATCTTTTGGTGGCTTCTTATAGTATTTCATTCTGTTAGGGAAACACCAAAGAGAACTAGTTTTAATGGCTTTAACTTGCTTAGAATCATTTCCTCTAAGTCACTTGTTATTTGCCTCTCCCGAAGGTTAATTAGACTGTTTTTTTGTAGATCCCATATTGACGACCTTCTGCTGCCAAACCCCTTGGCTTGTCAGAAATCCCACATACTCTTGGCAACTAAAATATTTCACAACATTGTTCAAGTGCCAGATTCTTAGCCTCTTTTGTCGCAATGTAAATTAAAAACACAGCCACAGACCATTTATGGTCCGGCCTGGCCCCAAGCCAAAGCCCATACCCGCCATAAAGCCAAGTCAGCGCAAACAGGTTTGCAATTAAACAACTAAAAAAAAAAATTATTAAGCAAAATGAGTCTGAAATTAATTATTTATGCGCTTAAGATAACACAACGCCATCCAGCGAAGCCCCCAGTTTTGTGGAGATCCAAGTAAAGTGGGCGTCACTCAACTTCCAAGAACCAAGAACCAGGCACCATAACTTGCTGCCGCGAAAGGCTCGCTGAAAAACACCCAAAGTTCACAGTTCAGTGATCACTCCCCCTCGGAAAGCAACGCGTGCCAACTGGGCAGCTGCAGGCGCTGTACCACTCCAAGGCACTCAAAAAACTGAAACAGAAACAGACACCCTGATCGTCATACACGAGTTCACAGCTCCACCGGCCCGCATAAATTAGAGCCGCGATCAGGAGCAATAAGGCGCATTTCGTATTTATAGTTGGTATATATATATATATAGGTACCCTGACCCTGGGCAAGTCGGCTGCACATTTTTTGAGTTATTACTACCTTCTGTGGACCATGACATTTGTTGAAATTTGCCTAAAACGCCTGTAAACTACCCGAACAACTACCAACTCCACTCTAGCTTGAAATGAGCTTTACTTGAGCACAACAAATTTCCAATAGCAATTAATCATAAACAGAATCAAGCAATGGTTATGTCATCCGTGTAGTAGAGCCAAATGGAGGGCGGTGGCAGCTCCACAGTGCTGTCCTCATCATCCGTCAGGCCATTCTCGTCCAGGGTGCCATTCAGATCTAGGACGCTGCAGGCTTTTCCCTGGTGGGGTTATAACATTATGAACCTAATTCCTGATAGTCCTCCTTATATTATATATATACTGTCATATATACCTACGCCATTCGAGAACTTTCTCCACTCATAGCTGCCGGCGTGGTGGTTATATCGCTGTTTGTACTTCTGCTGGATGTCGTAGATGCTGTCCTCATTGCAAACGGTCATGTACTGAGTCCGGGCAGTTAGGGCATTAATAATCCGGATAAGACGAGGACGCTTTGTGACCCTGCCAATGTGGTAGAAGGGATCCTGACTCCACATAGCACCCGGTGTTTTAGAGAACTCCGAGATGGCCACCTCCAAAATGGGCGGAAAGAGGACCCGAGGTCGCCCCGTGCTGGGAGAGATCTCCGTGCGCGGCTCTCCATTTTCATGAAAGAAATGTGTTAGATCCTTGCCAGCATGGGCTACCAAATAGTCAAGAGTCTGCAGGGGTTATCAAACTAAAAAGAAGTTTAAGGATTACACCACGTTCACCCACGCGATTCCAGTGGTCATAGCGATCCCTCAGCATAGGTGTGAGATCAAAGATATTCGTGTGTATAATCACCCAGCAGTCGTCCTTCTTGTTGTGCGAGACCACCTCATCCTTGAGGTAGTAACGCATTTTATTAATCGGTTGCTCCATTTCAAAGATTTAAATAGAAACAAAACCGACTGAAGTGTAATTTGATTTTCTTGACAAAACTGTCGCCTCTTGACTTGGCCCATTAATTCTGAGTTCTCCAGCAGTGCCGACTGTGCTCATCATCATTTCCAAAAAGGTCTCCGGGAGCGGATCTTATCTGTGGCCCTCCGGTTGGCAGACCAATTAATTCCAGCTGCCAGAGTGGCCCAAGTTCCCATTCCTGGCCGGGATGCCATTGCATAATTAGACGCCAATTGTCAAGTCGTCGGCAGTCGACGGTCTAAGCCCATCAATCGTTTGCCATAAATAGAAAAAATTAGATTAATGACCGTTGGCATTTTTGGTCTAACCTCCGGGGTTACACTCAACTCGTAAGACATGCCAATTGATGGGAACTCTGTCATCGACTATCGAGGGAGCACTGCACTTTGAGATATTTTGCCTCCAGTCACTCCAAGATCATTCAGCTTTTTCAAGTGAATGGAAAGCATTCCTTCTCACTTGATAGGTTGATTAATTTGGAAAGATTTTTTAGTCTTATGACTTAATGTCATGGAAAATGAAGCCAGTTGACAGTTTCCGAAAGAAAATTTAGCCAAATTGCATTTTAATCAAAAGGTGTTGCTCTTTTCTTTGTCATTTTCAAATGTACCAAAAGCAGCTGCTTGAAAAGGGTTTATTTGTATAAAATTCAAAACTAAGCCAATAAAACCCTTTTCATTTCAGTTTCCTTTCTGTTTGATGCTGAACTTTGAACCCAGCGGACTGGTCTTCAGGTAAACTAACTAACCAAAAGGTAACTAATGGACACACGTGATAAAATCAACTTCCGCAGGATTACAAAGTTGCCGACCTGGGGGTCATTCCATCCATGGCTCACAGTTCACAGCTGCCACTTTCCGTCGCGCATGCGCAGACAGAGAACTCAAGGGATTTGCCATGGCAACACCCAGTTAGGTCAAACAACAAGGGGCAAGGGGTAGCTGTTGTAGTAAAGGATATTGTGGCAGGAAGTCTCGAGTGGCATCTCATATTGCAATTATAGGGCATAGTGCTAAAAGGATTTAACGATACTTGGTGTTTACTTTAATTGCTCGCCACGCGTCGTTTTAAGTGGTTTTTAATATTTGCTTTCTTCGTTGGTTGCAAGTCGACAGACTGCGTGATTGTGGCAGCTGTTGGTGGATAGCCGCAGACACCATCAGTTGGCAATTATTTTGGGATTGGCCTTGCCCAGGGAAAGCTGCATCCTTTATGGCATTGCCACAGAAAACCAGACAAATGGCAACAGCAGGACTCACAATAATAGCCGCAAAACATGGCAATTAATCACGCAATCGAGAAACATTGTGTGATATGAGGGAAGATAGGCAAGGAATTGACACGTTTTTGGTGAACAATCTTTCGATATTTTAGCTTATTTTGGATAATGCTTGATGATTTGGGTTTTATACAAGTTTCTTCTATAAAAAAAGACACTTTTGTAACTCCCCTCTTAAAAAGTACAAAACCGACAAACAAATTGTTGACAAATATAACCCACAAAAAGGAACCCCAAAAAATTTAAAAATAATTTAGATCCTAAAAACCAGCTGCCATTTCGGTGGTGACCCATAGGAAAACAAGGCTTGGTTGTGGGTTGATCAGTAATCAACATTCACTCAGCTCATTTGCATGGTTGAAAAGTGGAAAGTGAGTGAGGGTGCTAGGGTACTAGGGTGCGAGTCCTGCTAATTGCTTCGAAGTCAACTGTGAAGCTGCACATATGTCGACCAAAGGACAATGGCTCTTAGATGAGTTTCCCATTTTCCATTTCCAATATTTGCTTGGCCAACCGGTTTTGATTTTGTGGGATGGCAACAGCTGGTTGGCCATTTGACACGCCACCTCTGGTTGCTGGCTGCCTTGATCTTTGGCCAAGGAGTTGCTGGTGCAGCTGCAACTGGCTTTATTTTTTTGTGTCTTGAATTTTGGGTCAAGAATGCGTGTGGCAGGCGCAAGCGAGGGGCACAATGCAGGCAAGGCAAATGAACTGGAAATGCTGCGGGTTAAAAACAACCCCAATCGAGGTCCCAACCCCTACGCACTGATGAACCACGTGCGTCACGCGCAGACGTAACCGCTGACACGGCAAGAAATTGTAGCCAAAAACTTAAGGTAAGAAAAAAAAATCAAAAAAATATTTAAAAATATTAATAATAATAATAAGATTAATCCATATTCATTTTTAACCAAATTTATGTTTAGTTCAAAATCTTTAGGATTGAAATTTCTTTCAGTGCACTTGCAGGAACCCCGAATGGGACTCAATCGCCGGATCCAGACTCCATCCAACCCCGTTCCGATTCAGAGGCCCCGTTACGAATCGAACAATGGGGCATGCTTTTGAGAACCCATTGAGTGCGTTGTGAAAATAAATAAAAACTAGCAGAAAAAATACTTTGTTAATGTAAATGACAGGAAGTGTGCACTTGAGTGCCAGCATCATTCTCGTCCCCCCCAGAGGCTGCAATTAAATATTATACAAAAAACACAAACCAAAACTCTTTCCACAATGACAAGTTTAGCGGAAAAAGTGCGACAAAAACGGTGGCAGCTGCAGATTTATATATAATTTCTGTATTTTTTTTCTCCCTCCTAATCATTGAAATGGCAATTGCATTGGCAATTCTAATCTGGATTGAGTGGCTGTGCGTAGGCAAACGAGTTGGCCAATTGCTGGTCCAACTCTTAGATGTTATTCCGATCGCCTTGACACATAGACAAAGTGCGGCGCCAATTTATTTACATTCTATGATTAACTGAGAGTGTGCATGCTATTTAAAAACTCATTGAATATTCGAAAAAGGTGGGCACAAATAATTTTCTTTAATAGGTGAAGGGGCTCAGTGTTGGTTTCTAAACATGGTTTATGTGATTTATCAACTCTTTCAGCACTTTTAGATTATAAATTTAAGTTACAATCAGCATTTTACTTAATTTCTGTATACTATTTTGGAGCAAAACTAGTCAATCTATATCTCGCTGAACTTGTTATAAAATTTCCTATTATTTATTCCAACAGCTTAGCCTTTCCTGTTCCCTCTTTTCAACTTCCAAACCTGATCTCTACAAAATTCCAAACAATTAAACACCACCACAGGGTGGCTTCATTGTAGTTAACACCCTGCGCAGACTCTTTTCAAACACTCTTCAGAACTCAACAGCTGACGGTTCGTATATCCTATCCTATCCTTGTACATCTCCATGAGTTCTCGAGAATCATCAAAAATGATTGTCTAAACATGCAACTAATTGAAAAGTGTGCCGTAATTCATTAGAAGGCTAGATACAATCGCTCGGGTTCCCTGTCATATCGAATATAGTATGTGTGGCTGACCAACTGTTATTATCCTTTTGAAAAGGAGGTGGGAAAGGATCTCTACCAGTTGCTTAGGGGGCGTTCTCCCTGTCAGGATACGAGGGTTGCATCACAGATCACCATTCCACGCAACTGTTCCTATATATAGTATTGTTTGCCTTCCCATTTGATACGAGACGATGCGCCTGCGCAAATTGATTTATTCAAATAATTAAATTGCCAACATATGCGAAAAATATACTTCAGTTTAGGTTTCCTAGCATCTGGACTAACATCTGTTAGTAGGGATTGCATAGTTTAAGCTGGTGAAGTTCCCACGAATCTCTTTGATATATAACTTCAAATTACATTTCTTATGCGAAAACTGTTTAGATTAAATATAATAAATATCTGAGAGAATAACTTCTAAGATATATAAATTTTTCATGAGCTCTAAAATGCACATGGTTAATGTAAGTTACTAAGCCTAAGTAATAGCTACAAAATATTAACCATTCCAGCCTCGTTTGCTAACATTTTTCCCTTCGACATTAGCCTTAAAGTGTGTCCCAATTAGTGTTAAACATATTAACTAAATCTGCATGAACTGTTATGCTAATTCCAGTTAGCCCGACTAAAAATTGCATTATGATTAGCCATTATTTTATGGTGGTTTTGTCTTGGAGTGGCATGCAACATGCAGTTAGTTTTGACTTTCGCATGGCATGTTGGAATGCAGTTGGGGGCGGCCAAGCCCAGGTCTAGGCCCAGTTAACAGTTAGTTGTTGCAAGTTGCCAAGTTACCAACAGCAGACAAATGGCGGCAAACTTAACAGACAACCAACTTCTTGGCTCGTCATCGTTGCGACATTGCAAGGTCGCTGCTGTTGGTGCTCTTGCTGTTGCAGTTCCCAAAACTTCCTGCCATTCATGACGGTTAATTGCCAGCATTGTTACTGGTTTTGTGCAGTGAAAGAAACGGGAAGTCATCGTTATAAATCATTATTCATTTAGTGGGTTGAAAGTATTCTTATAACTTAAATAATATCCTAACTCAAAGGAGATAAAACTGATTAAAAATTTTGAATTTTTCTTTATAAATAATATTTTTAAAATACTTTAAACTTTTTCTCAGTGTACTCATTGTTATTGCTGTTGTTTCTGTCGTACTTGCGGTTGCTGTTGTCATTAAGCAAAATTCTTTTTGGCGTTTCACATTGTCGTCGAGCAGTTGGCATATTTTTTAATCATCTCAGCGCATCCGCAACCAGTTTGCCTTCCGTTTCCACCCCACCCTTAGCCCGTCTTTTTTGGGCATTTCAATTAAACTTTTCGCTCGCTTAGTTAATATGATTACCGTTAATGCCCTCGGGCAGTTCTCACTCCGCTGGAGCTGGACTCTTGAACGCAGAAGTCTTCTGAGGCGGCTCGACTGCTTTTGATGATCTCGCCCTGCTCTGTAAATATTTTTATTGATATTTATTGAATTTCGCGGGGATGCTTAAAACAAGTGCCAATTTGTGGGAAGTTTATTTAGAGAGCAAGTTAATGTTATTAACAGTTCTTTATGGAAATGTTTTCTGTGGGAAAAGAATAAGAAGTATTGCAATTTAAAGAAGTAAAAGGGGAAAAGGGGTAGAGAAGAACCAAGTCTTGTTTGATTTTCTGTTTTTAGGTTTTATTATTAATATACCCCATGGAATTTTTCCTATGCATTTCAGGGCTAATCATAGGCAGTCTCTTGCCCCTTCTATCCAGACATTTTTGCCGCCTCGCAGTCTGCAAAGTCTGAAAGAAAAACAAACTGTGCTCATCTCCCACCAGCTGGAGGGCAAACCAAAAACAAACATCGATTGCAACATTTGTTTAAAAAGCCAAAAAGAGAGAGAGGGGAAAAACACTCGTACATCGCAGACTAAACAATGCAAAAATTTAGCCAAATGTTTTTTATTTTTCCAACTCTCTGTGTTTGAGCACGCGCCAAATGGTTCAGCGAGCTGAATGATGATGATAGTCCATATGTAGATCCCCGTTCACACTTCACATCCAGACACGAGTGAGTGTGCCAAATATAGTTTGCCGGGGTTACGTTATGGACCAGCTGGTGATATTGGCATTAACTCAGTTTTAAAGCGGCAAAAGAAATGAGATTTGACTGCTTTCAAGGTTGTAACGAAGTTTTTTGTACCCTATAATGGAATTTGGAAAGAAAAATTTTACTGTTTGTGTTCTTTGTATAAAACTTCTTGATAGCCAAATATTTGGATTTTTCGAAAACTTGAAACAGTTAAGATTAAGTACAATTTTTAAGATTTTGACGATAAAATGTTTTAAATAAAAGTTCTTTGTATAAAATGTGTGAACTAAACACTTGGCTGGTCTATATGATCTTCAAATTTATCGGATTTTTAGTAATTTTTCGCACTTCATCCCATTGCAAAGTTGGCAATCCCTATCCCCTTGGCCCTCATAGACCCTCATCCGATACTGCAAACTCATCACCCACTTCCTGCATCCTCATCTCCATCTCCACCCAGCCAACTCTTTCAATTCGAATCTGAATCCATCATTACAAAGTCCGATAATCGTTTTCATTGATTCGCTAAATTTATGCGAGGGCCCGCGTTTTTTCATTTCATCAAATTTTATGTTTATGCGCGTGTTTATGTCAGGCCTTTTTTGTTAGCCACAATAATGAGATTTTTAATGGTCGGCCAAATTTGGTAGCGCTTTGAAGGAGAGGGTTTTTTTTAGTTTCTTTGCCAGCTCGTAAAACGCCGCCTATTGGTTTATGGCCAACTGAAAAAGCATTAACAATCTCTTTGGTGACACTGGGGGAAAAGCACTTGGCGGAAAATGTGAGGAAAAGCTCACATAAATCGCTCGCCACAACGGATCGACGTCAGCCAGCAGCTTCCCCTCGATATGTGTTTGTCTCTGTGTGTTTGTCAGCAGCAGACATATATGAAAAGCGAATTTTCTCTGGTCGAGCGAAAAAAAAAACGAAAGAAAAACGCAAACGAAAACGTTGGAAAATTCGATGGCGGGATTGAGTGTGTGTCTGGTTTTTCTTTGGTCAAGTTTTCCTGCTGCTGGCTGCTGTTCGCCTGATACAAATATCGGAAAATTCCTTTGAGGATTTGCCACAAAGGCGGAAAAGCCGCTGCGGCAAACCTTTGATGATTCTCCACACATCTCGCTATCTCCCTCTGACTCTCGCCGTTCCTCTTGTCATTTTCCGATAGTGTGACAACCCCCTTAAGAATCCACCCCTCGCCATTCGCGGCGGTGGAAAATGTGAAAATGTTTTATGACCCGCTTGTTAGCTCTCCGTCTCTCCCTCTCTTACTCCGCCTTTCCTTTCCGCTTTTCTCGAATATGCCGGCTGCTGCTGCTGCTTCTTCTTTCTTACGTACTTAATACATTTTGACTTTTTGGGGGAAAAGCATTTCCCGGGGCGAGTATGTGTGTGTGTGCTTGTAGCAGAGTGAGAGTGGCAGAGAATGTGAATGCGAATGCTCCTAAGCGGTTTTCCCAGCTGCCACCGTTTCTGCTCCTGCTTTTCAGCTGCTGCTCGCCGGCGATTCCTGTTCGCCTGTTACATAATTCGCGTAATTTATTCAATTTTGAGAATTAATTTAATTTTTCTTTTCACACACGTGTTGAACTCAGGGTCCCCGGGTTCCATTTTACATTATTTTTCGGATAATATTTTAAACGGAAATTATTTAAATTTAGACTAAGAAAGTTAATTTGTAACGAATCACTGGAAACTGAAATAAGAATTTTTAAGCAGAAAATTTTTAGAAAGTTGCTGGCTAGATCGATCAATTAACCCCTTGAATTATAAAATATTAAGTAAAATCAGTTTTACCGATAAAACCTAAAATAAATGTGTCTCGAAGAATTTTCAAATTTTTAATTTTAAAAAATTATTTATTTTTTTAATTTCTAAAAATTAATCTTGATAAATTTGGTTATTTGTGACTTTAAAGTTTAAATAACCAATATTTTAGCCTTAGGCTTTACTTATTTTTCGTAGTCATTCCTCAATAAGTTAGCGCCATCTATATTTTCAAATTCAAACCCTTGAGAGTCATCTATTTCTTATTTCTACTTTTTTGGCTAACTAGCAGCCAACCAAGTCACTCAATCTTTTATTAATCACATATTGTCAATACATTCTTTTTTATTCAATCATTTTCTTGATATATTTATAAAAACTTTAATCACCTTTCTGTTTTCCACACTTAACCTTTCAATTCGCCGCTAAAGCTGCTGTATCTGTTAAACTATGTAAAGTAAATGTAAAGTTCAAATTCGCCGCACTCTTTGAAATATTACTTTGTAGAATGACATAGGGAAGTACACTTGTAAAGAGGAACTCTTGTAATATAAATGTAGATGCTGAAGGTAAGGCCATGTAGATATGGCATACATATTGTGAGTAGTTTTCAAATTACACAAAGGGCGCTAATGTGTCCGCTTGATAATGGGCATCATTGGACAAAAATAGATTTTATACTTAAGTTATTTTAAGGTGTTTTTTTATTATTAAAAGTTAAAAATGGGAATATAAAAATGTAATTCATTAACATTTTTAAAATAATTCTGTTATGTTACCACTGAATTGGTATCCGGATAAAGACTTATCTTGCCTTTCCAATAGTTTTCTGTTCGAAGCCATTGGTTGCTGTAAAAGTCTGCCAGTGATAAATGTCCAATACGAAATGGCTTTAACCCATTGGCAGACAATGGGTGAAAAACGCGTTTTAAGACTGTTTTAAAGAGGGAAACTAAAAATGACTATAAACTATGAAGATCAGTTTAAAAAAATAATTTATTTACAGGATATTTACAACTGTTATTAGGATAAAATATTTTTTTAAATAATTAAGAAGTCCCAGAAATTCTCTGATTTATAGCCCTAAAAATAGATTAGCCCACATATACAAAAACAATATTCAAAAGTAAACAAATAAATTCAGAAATTCCCATACTCTTTGCCATCAATGGGAAAATGGGTTAAGATTGCACATTACCCCGAGGCCAAGACAGGGCGGTCCACGTAATGGCTCTTAGATTGTTGTTTTCATTAAAAAAACCAACGGCTGCAAGCCAAATAGCCAGCCAGCAAGCGATTCCCCTGCCCTGTGGTTGCGGCATACAGCTTGTGCCGCTGTGGTGACCCCAACTCCAACCCCGGCTCCTGCTCCTGCGCCGGCTCCTGCTCCTGTTACTGTTAGGGAACGCCCAATTGCATTGGGCTGAGCGACAACAAAGGAAACGCCGCCTTTGACCAAGCCAGCCAGCCAGTCAGCCAGCCATCCATCGAAGCAACAACAACAAAAACCAGGAGGGGGAAAGTGGATCGGTAGAGGGATAGGGATCGGGATCGAGAAGTTGAGATCGGGATCGGCAGGGGATGGGAGTCTATAATCTCGTTCGCTTAAGCGTCACGCATGCCACTCCCCTAAATTGATATGCCCGCCATGGCCAAACACCGGCAAACATCATCATCAGAGCGAAGGAAGTGGAAGTGGCAGTGGTGGTACCGAAGTGGTAGTACTGGCGGCACAAGCGGAAAATCATCAAAGCGCTGGCACGGCTGCGGCAGCGGCGGCGGCGGCTTTTTTTCGCCTTTCATTGCGGCATTTCAAAGAAATGTTCCGACATTTCTACCAGGCGAACAGAAACGTCGACAGCCGGCGATGATGTGGTGTGCCAAAAAAGTGAATGAAATCGAAAACTCAGCAGAAGAGCTAGCATGGCACACACACCGAACAGTACACACACACAACACACGCACCACCAAACCACCTTTTATTCACTTTTTTTTTTTTTTTTTGAGGCGTCGCGTCGCTGCTCTTGGTTGCCGGCGTATAAAATTGGCTGTGACCCGATTATACACCTATATATTCTATTCGCTGGCCATTGTTCTGGGTGGGACTCGGCGGTCTGGGTCGCAACTGCAAAGGGAAAATCGCGAAAAAAAGGGGTGGAATTTAAGCTAAAAAAAAATTAGTAAATATATATATAGGAAAATCGTGCTTCTAATGATTGTCTACTTTTGGGGCAGTGTTAGTCTAGGTCGGGGCTGTCGGTCGTTTTTTTAGGGTAGCTTCTGTTTTCTAACAGCCCTAATTATTTTTTTTTGTTTTTTTTTTTTTTATTTACCACACATAAATAAAACTAGCATGGTTTTGAGTTTTCCTCTTTCTAATTTTTTTTTACGATTTTTTAATGCTTTAAACACACATAGAATAAACATTTTGGGTATGTATATAATATTGCACATATTAAGTGTAATTAATTTGCGATTATTTATTTGGATATTTAATATTAGCTTAGAAGCCAAGTCTCTTTGATGAGACGAAAATAACGTTTGAAGTGAACTTTCCCTCGGATCGTGAAGGGCAAAAACTGTCTGGAAAACTCGCTTGTACTCTATTCTTGTGGTTTCAACTTTGTGTATACTGTATGTCTCTAGTGAGATCGAAAAAGTGTGTCGTTATAATACCAATTTTGTTTTTTTGTTCTTTTTCAAAGTCTCTAGTGAGACGAAACGAATATTTTTTCCAGTGCCATGAATTGTTTGGAAAAAACCTCCTGCACTTAGGATTAAAAGGGGTTAATATTTGATATAACTCTTTGTGATTATTTCCATAGACACTGAATTTGTAATTTAATCCTTTAAGTCCTTTAAAGGGACAACAATTTCGCGTTTATTTTCTGAGTGCATAGTTTGTGAAAAAACCTTTTAGCACAATTTAATATATATTTCTTAATATATTTATTAATTTGTTCTCTGGGGTCGATGCACAAGTTTGTATGTGTAACGAATTTTTTGAACAGTGTAAGTGTAACAATCAATGTGTTTGTTGTGATTAAATTGTGGTTAATTGATTAAAAATTGCAATAATCAAAAGCTTTCTCCCAGTGCATTTACTTACTTCTTGTTTTGATTTTCATTTTCTGTTTTTGTTTGTGGAAAATGCTTACCAAGTGATTTTTTGATTTTCAAACGCCAATGGAACAATTTAGCAGAAAACTAAATGAAGCTTTTGAGTGCACTGGGCTTAAGACCTTAACCCTGCTTGGAAGCTTTGGGTGATTTGACTAGTTTGCATTAAATTTAACTATAATCTATAAACAACCCTTTTTGCTGAAAGTCTGAATTAAGAAGTTATCTTATTCGATTTTTATATCTTCTGTTGTATTCAGGCATACTAGTACCGCTTCAGTGTATCGTTTTGTAAGGGGAGGGGGAAGTATCATAATTCTGTTTTACTCTTTTGAAAAGATGGTAGCCATGCAACTATTTGAAAAATCTCAAACTAAATAAGTGTTAGGAAATAAGTTAGAGAATCGAAATCATGCGTGTTTATAAGAAGGACTGAATGTGAAAGCGTGCAAGTGTGCTAAGTACTCTAAGTGTTCTATGGTTATAGATATATATATAAATATGTATATTTCTATATTATTTTCGATAAGCAACTCTACAGATTATTGTTAGTTACAGTACCTTTGACGACTGTTTTGTTGTTGTGATTGGTGTTTCGTTACAGTGATGCTTAGAGCCAACTTGCCTGAAACAAGTTGGGTTTCTATTGACAGATTATGCTATACTTGCTATTTAGTTCTATCTTAGACACGCACAGTAAACACTGGGTAACGGGAATCATTGTGGTTGTGGTGGTGGTAACTAAAAAAAAAACCTTTTTCGTTAATATTTACTACGCTCGGCATTGGCTTAGTTTTGGCTAATGGTTTTATCGGTTTATATTGTTGGGTAGGCTCAGTTGTTTTAAGGGTCTCTTTATTATATTTTGATCTGTATTATAATAGTAATCGTAATTATTACCGGTTCTACATCGTCATCTCCATAATCTGCTTTTCTGCTTGCTGTTTATCATCGAAAATTGTTCGCATTTTTGTTTTGTTTTTGTTTAATTTATACATTTATATAATTTACACATGCAGCAGAATATAATATGTGATTTGTGGTTTCTTTTTTTTTAACTTGTATTTTTGTAGCGCATATTACACAATGGCGCGATACATTTAGATATAGGTATGCATATCCTCTTTGTTCTCCATAAATTCAAGTTGATTAATAACATTCATATATATGTGTATATATATATATATTTGTATATATTTATGTAGGTATACATGTTGCTATATAATTCTCATAAATAATTGTAGCATGTAATGTTATGTAATATGTATGTTTAAAACACTTAAATTGCATAGGTTAATAAGTTTTGCACAAAAAACCTTTAATAGGTATGCTCCATGTTTCTTTTCTTCGAGTGTAAGTGTTCGGTGTATAATATTTATTAGTTTTTATCAGCTTGACTCAATGTTCAATAATAATCGTTTAACTTGTCGCATTTTATCAGTTTTAGTACATTTAGATATTAATGGCCTCAGCCAGCATAATTTTTTGCTGGTTTTTACCTTTTTTTTGGGTTGCTTTTCTCGTTTAATTTTTTTTAGAGTTTCGTCATCGTTTTTACTTTAGTAACACAAATCTTTGCCAAGTGGCGAAATAGATATTTTCTTCTTTATGTAGCATATTGTATACACATCGATATTGTTAAATGTTTCGCTTAACCCCTAAATGCCTCACTTAATCAGTTAATTTATTTTGCTTTTCCAAAAATGTATGAAAGCCTGCTCGTATTATTTGTATTTATTTTTGCTTATTTTTCTTACTCGATAATCCATTGAACTTGATCAATGATTCAAATATTTCCCACTTTCTTTTTGATGCCTGTATTTTGTATTTTGTGTTTTGTTTTTTGTATTTATTTGTATTTGTATATTATCATCCGTGGTCACCAAACTCAATCTTTCTTTAAAACAAAAAACTTAGAACTTTGAGATTGTAAGTTTGGTTGCCTCTTTGATAAGTTTCTTTTTCAGTGTATCGTCCTGTCAAGAGTCCAAAAATGGTTACCTGAATACCAATCACTTGACCTTTAGCTTTGAGGGAACAGATCTTAAAGCTGCCGCACTGCGATCATACTTATCTATCCCGTTGTACGAGTTGAATCTCATTGTGTAGGCCTAAGACTAAGTTCCGTCCGGTCGGTCAGTTCCAGTTGGTTGTCAGTATTAGTTATAGTCAGGATTAGCTGCTAGTCCGGAGTTAGATGTGCGTATATACAGCCAGTTCTTGGGTCAAGGGTCCAATGTCCGTCCTATTGTTGGTGGTCGGGTTATGTTTCTTTAGGAACTCAAACCATTTTGTATGCCTCGTTCTGGGTTCGTGGCGTCAGTCGGTCGGTCTATGGTTGGTAGTCCACTTCATCTGCTCTTCTCTGATCCTGTTTTGGTAACAACTTGATCTGCCCCTTGGAAAGTTAATGGTCAGGTGATGACCAGAAACCAATTTAGACTCCATGTGTCGTTTTGTTTCTGTCCGCGATTTAGATTTATTCTTTTTCTGCCTCCCTTTTTTTTCTCCTTATAAATAAAAATAATTAAGATTTCGCTTTAGTTGATTTTGTTTTTGTTTTTTGTATATCTATGTTACACCATCAATGAAAATAGACTGGGGGAAATGATGAAATGCTTGGATACCCTTTCCCATACGGGGTACATTTAAATGGTTTATATTGTTGAAAAATGGACAAGTCCGTTAGACATTTATGCATTATAATTATAATTATGATTATTATATATTATATGTAAGTTCCTTTCAAGTTCTCTACGCATGGTTGTTGTTTCTTCCTCGTTTAATCATTAACATCTTTATGTATATATGGTTATGTCGAAATATACATCAATAATTGCCTTTATATGCGATTGACTATATATAATACGATACATTTACGTTGCTTGTTAGTACACTTATTTAACTTTGTTTCGTCGAAGAACATTTGAATTGAAATTGTCGTAGTTGTATTTGTATGTATTTTTCATTTTCTTCTTTAATTAACTTTGAAAAAACGTTGCATCAAGTACTCGAAAATCAATCGAAAAACTCACTACTAAATATTTTTCTCTAAAACAATTAATCTTTTAACTATTCATATTTCTTTATTCTTTTTTTTTTCTACCACTTTTAATAATTTTTCATCATATAGTTTTTCGCAAGCCCCAAGTTGTTGGTCGGACTTGCCACAGTTATTGTAATATTGTTTTCTCATTTTTGCTTTTATATTTGTTGTGTAGTGTCAGTTGTGTTTTTGTTACTTTTAAAACAAAGGAAATGTTAACAAATCATAGGTTTGCGTCGAGATAATAAATTGTTTCGTTTTCTTTTGGTTTTTTTTTTGCTTAAATTTAGCTGAAATGTATCTTATCTTTGTCGTCTTGAAATATTTCGAACTACGATAACTCATTTTCATTATGTTTAAGTTCAACTGCTACGTAAAACTGTTAAGTAGTATGCTATTATTATTTAATTGATAATTTTTTTGAATATTTCTTTGCTAATTTGCAGCACTTGCACTTAATTCCTCTTCAATCTGTTCTTATTTCGTTTCTATTTTCATATTTTTGTTGATTTTTCATATTTTTTCTCATCGTATGCCTCAAATCGGTAGCTATATGTTCGGTTAATGCGAATCGCTAGTCACTGTATCTTTGTTGTGGCTCCTTGGGGTGTCTTAGTATAGTGTGTCATGCGGTCTCTCGACGGCATTGTACCGTGTGACTATATTAATATATTTTGATTGGATAGTTTTCTTAGCATGTCCTGATTCGTTCTGGGTCGTTTTTTTTTTTTTTTTTTTTTTTTTGTTAAACCATTGATAGAATGAAAGTGCCTGGAGATGTTCTTTCCAGCATAATAAGGCTGCGTCCTTATTAATCTTATACTAATTAAATTTATAATTTTTTTTTGCGGATTTTTTTCATGTATTTTTGCTTCTCCGTAATAATCTACAGTTTGTTGTGGCACATACTCCTAACAGCACCGAGGCTGCAACCTCTCCCAGTAACCCCCTCTGCCCCTCGACCTATAGCTGCCTCAGTTTTGATGAAGTAGATCATGGGTTCATGAATTTAAGGCCAAGAAACAGACTGGCCAGCAGAAACTGGAGCTTCGGTGCTATTCCTCTGACATAATTGGATCTTAAGGAAAATATCAAAGTCGATACATGTATATATAATATAATAATAATATATATGATATAATCAACTGCGAAAGGGTAAAAGTGTAGCTTACGTTTAGGAGCGATTGAAAACTGAACAATTTCTTGATTTCGCACACATACATATGGTCTGGTAAAACATTACTCGATTTGCTTCGAAGATCAAGTAAGTGTATATGTTGGCTAGATAGATAATGACATTCACCATATTGTATATGAATAATATATATGTTGTATACAAATATATTTTTTAAATGTGATTATATCCTTGTATAATTAATTGTCATACACATCAATAGGTTGTATCCTCACTAAACTTTCCCTTTCATGTTGTAAATAGAATTCTTGTTAGGTACAAATTTTGCAATCTTCCTTTTCTTGTATATATGTATGTCTGTCTCTTGTCATATGTATCTTGTTGTGGGTTCAGTGTTCTAGTGTTAGTTAGTTTAGTTTAGTTTAGTTTAGTTTTGTGATTCTTGTATTTAGTGTGTGTTGTTCCAGTGATTCTGTTTGCTGTTCTGACTGGCTTGGCATATGTATACCGTTCAGCGATTGTTGTCGTTCGTTTGCTGCTTTTGCTGGTTTATCAAGCACATCGATTAGAGTTTAAGTTTAATGCCAACATCGATATCGATAAATGTACGATTAAACGATTAAACGATTAAGTAAAATGCCTCATAATTGAATCCAATGCTTAACAGCTAGACATGTATATAAGTATAAGGTATGTATGTAAATATTTCTCATTTGTATATCCTTTAACACTCAAATATGCTATATATATCGTGCGTTTCTATAGTTGCTTGCACCACACAATATCACCGAAATGGCATCTCCTCGCATGGACGCACCCCGGGTCTCACGGGCTGGTGCAGACCGGGGCAGCGTTGCACGTCCGAAGGGATCCACATCGCAGCGATCCTTGTGCTCCTCGATGCGGTGTAGTTAACTAAAGGTAATAAATCCGTCTACTGACAATCTCGTGAAGCCTTTTTCGAACCTTCCAAGAGCTCACGCCAAATCAAAATCGAACTTAAGTCAATTTCTAACTATAACAAACAGAAAAGACCCCCGAAACGCTGCAACAATCATTAACCTGAGGCTTAACCTTCAACCCGATGCTGGATCGGATTGGCTTACTTCTTCGCCTGCTTCGCTGGCTTGGCTGGCGTTCTCTGCTCGGCGACTTTGGGTTGATCCTTGGACTGATCCTTCGCCTGCTTCTCCTCCTTGTCCTTCTTGGCTGCTGCCGCTGCCTTGGAACTGCTGGTGGGCGCTTCCTCTTCGGCTGCCTCCTGCGCCTTGTCCTCCTTCAGTGGTTCCTTGGTGGTGCTGCTGGAGTTGCTATTGCCACCACTTCCCACTACTGGATCCTTGTCCAGTTCTCTTTTCTCGCCGGAAGTGTTGGCCGGCAGAGCCTTTAGGATGGCGTGCACCTCTTCGGCCACGGCCATCAGCACGAACTCGAACTGTTGCCGCGTGGCCACCACACCTGCCCGTTGGTCACGCAGGTGCTCCAGTGTAGCGGCAATGTCGATCTCACGCGCACCCTTGTTCATACGTTCGAGCACCAAGTCCAACAGGATGTAGGCACCCGTTCGTCCGGCTCCGGCACTTCCATGCACCACAATGGGGCAGGAACGACGTCCCCGGTAGGACTTGTTTACTTTCCTGAGAGTAAAATAAAATTTAAAATATTTTCTAAAAATTGTTGGGCCCTTAAACATTAGATATTATGATACTATGAGGCATATTTATTGATATTTTTATCATTAAAATACGTTAGTTACCTTCTGAAATCCAGCAGAGCCTTGGCCTGAGCAGGAACTCCCATGTGCGGCCAGGAAAGGAAGTGGAACTGGGTGACCGTTCTGGTTTCACTTGTGCGCAGATTTTTCAGGTAAAAAGAACGTACGAGGTAATCGTCACACCATATGTGTTCACTAACAAGGTGAACCTAAGCCATAAACAAATATTTAATTAATTTAAAATTATATTTATTGATCTTTAATCCAAATCTCTTCTTACCTCATAGATGTGATAGACCTCGGCACCTTCTTCCGGCCAATAGCGCGCACAGGCCACCTCCCCGTTCTCCTGCAGGCGGCAGAGAGCTACGATAACAACGGCTCCCTGCTCCCAGATCATTTGCCAAAAGTGGGCCAAGGTCGATGGTAGTGGACCCTGGGCGGCCACATAGGCGGGGGCGCGTGGATCGTGATCGGTCTAAAATAGAGGTAGGATCTATAATTTCTAGTAATACTAATGTAAGGCTAGAAACCTACAATCGTTGATGCGTTGACATAGTCGAGTCCTTCGGCGTTAGCCAGATGGTTTAGCACTACGCGGGAGTGGTCATATGGCAAGGGTGCTCCAGGTCTGTTTAGACCCGCACATTGCGGCTGGGAGGCAGCTTCCCGAGCACTGGGCTCAGCTTCATAGCGGCACAAAGCTTCCCATTCTCGCTGCAAGCGCCCCTTGTTGCGTAAGTGATCCTCCATGTAAGACTATATAGAATATGTAATGAATAGTGATATATAGCATAGCTTACAGCTAACGTCCTTTATTACTCACCAGAACCATGTGCCCCGTTGAGATGTCCATGTTCGTCAATGCTGGCTCCTCGCTCCACGAGGATGTACTGGATCGCGAGGATGGCGGGCGTCCTTCGTTCTCTTTGCTCAGCGATGTAATCCGTCCGCTTGGCGCCGGTTCGTTTGACCCACCGCCGGCTGCTCCGCTTGCCGAATTGCCACCGCTGCCATTGCCCGACTTTCCAGCCATCCTTGCCCGACAGAGTTCCTGGTAATCCTTACTGCAGGTCTCTGCCCCCGCAATGCCAGACTGCAGACCGCCTAATTTATCCCGTTTGCGATCGTGCCGCTTGATCAGAATGAGAGTTACGAATATCACGATCACAGCGGCAGCTCCGGCACCGGCGAACATGTAGGCCATGATGTGGGTGACATCCGGACCCTGCTCGGCCAGTTCGATTCGTGAAGAGGAAACACTGGGATCCTGCAGGTCCTTAATCACATCACCCACGCCGGCATGCAACACATAGAAACCGACGCGTCGCTGGATGTTGTTCTTGACGCCACGGTTCTCGTTGATGGTACGTGCCACATCGCCGGCGGTTTTGCGCTCGGGGTTGTTTGAGTTCACCCTGAAGCTGACTTCGTGTTGTTGAACGCTAAATGGGGGTTAGGTATTAAAGTTGGAGGTTGTATTTGGAGGAAAGTGCCGCCGAGACTCACGTTAAATAAGAAAAGTATCCCTGCATGTGTAGTATTTGCTCCAGCTCCTTCATGATGCGCTGCCCATCGTTCCAACTGTCAATCCTGCAGGTGATTTAATATAATTATTAATTATTATATTGTAATTTTAGTTAAATCTATCCAAACTCACGGGTTCTTGACGAACACATGCACATATTCAGTATCAACGGTGTGCGGCGCATGATCCTCGGCCGAGTGCTGCTTCATGACATTCTTCTTCTTGTGAGCATCGTCCTCTTCGTTGCCCTTGATGTGAGCGGGCAGAACCTCCTTGTTCCCATTGCCATCCAGTTTCCGTGCCTTGTCGGTCTCCAGTTGATTGCTGAGTTCCGAGGAGCCTAAGGATGGAGGACCTAGCAGAGGACCTGGTTTCTTCACATCCAGTCGCTCATGCCTTGCAAATCCCAACATATTGGCCAAGATCGATTGTTTCACATTTTCCGGCTCATCGGCCTGCATGCCATCGTTGTCCTGCTGTGCATCCTGCGGCATTAGGAGTAGTCCACCTTCGGTGTAAACGCGCTGACTTTTCGACTGTCTGGGAAAACTGTTGGAGGCCAGCATGGCCTCCTCTTCGAGAGGCGTTAGCGAATTTCTTAACAATCCCGACTCGAAGGCCAATTCCTGGTTCTGCAAGTTCACATCGTAAGGATCTAGCTGATTGAATGCCGATGGACGTCGTTTGGCCAACTCGGGAGTGGAATCCAGTTCGGTTTCCGAATGTCTAAAGCTTAAAGGTGGTTCCTGTACCAATCCCTGTTCGCCAGCCAATTCACGGAAAAAGGAACGCTTGGGTTGTTCATCCTCCACCTCGTCGGCCAATCCCCCCCTAGAGCGACCCCTTGTTCTTTTGAAGGGGGCGAAGTTGTCCGGGAAATAGAGTTCACTCGATTCGTTTACCTCCTCTGGTGGAACATAGACCGGTGCCTTTGCCTGCTCCTGCTGTTCCTTCAACTCCCGCTGCTGCTGCTGCTCCACAATCGCTTCCAGTTGATCCATGGCAATCGGTTGCGCCGCTGGCTTCCTCTGATATGGTTGCGGATCGGGCTCAGACGCGGCCAGAATCTGATAGAGTTCCAAGCGATTCTGTTCGGCCCGTCGGTCGGCATCTTGCTCAGCCGCTGCCAACTGTTGCTCCCGCTCTATTCTCTGGCGTTCGGTATCCAAGAAGGCATCCATAATGCTCGGAGCATCCAGTTGAGCACTCTGCCCGTGTCCGTCCATCTTGCCAAAGTGTTCCAGCTCCGAAGGATCATGCCTCAGCCTTCTGCGATCCTGCAGCATCCTGTTGAGGTACACATCTTCCACGTCATTTTCTCGCACCTGCTTCTTCCTCAATGCCGGAAAGAATTGCGAAGGGCTACCAGGCTGCTCGTAGAATTCCAGTTCGGTTTCCGGTTCCGGCGGCGTGAAGCGCACATAGGCCAATGCACTGGCCGGATCTCCGAATTCCGGAGGAGCCGGTGCCAAGTTTGCGCAGAGATTGGGTGGAAGCTGTTGTTGTCGTTGGAGCGAGAATAGTGAGCCCTGGATGCGGCACTGCACGTACGGATGGTCCCATCCTAAGCCGGCGCCCTGGAGTTCCTCCAGCATAGTGGCCAGCACACGGGACTGCTCCTCAGTAAGTGGTGTCCTTTAAAGAAAGTTAAGACAATGTGTTAACAAAGGATAGATTTTGATTAGACAAATCAAGTTAATTACTTCTCAATGTCCTCAACGTCGACACCGGTGGTTGGAATGCACTTGCCGAATATGTTGTCTGGAAATTTAAGAAGAAAATAAATGGGTTAAGTATATGGTATGGTTAAGCCATTTGACTTGGCAGTTCTTGTATTTATCTTAAGAAAAGTTTATCTTTCTACTTAAATATATGTATTATATTTTTGAGTTTTCCTGTTTCCTTAAAACTTTTGAAGCAGCAGAAGTTGCCGTTGACAGAAAAACTTAAAATGAATAAATTATAAGGTTCTCCCTCTTTTGAGTTAAAAGTTAAAGAAAGTGCCACAAAAATATAATTTTAATGAAAAAATTCCAACTTTTAAACATTCTACCCTTACTATCTCAATCTCTCTTTGACTACTCTATATTATCTGATCGTAAAGGTTAATTTATTCCATTTGCCCAGCCTGCACTACTTTAAACCTGCTAAAAATTCATTGGTAATTGCTTTGTGTTTTTCATTTTTGCTGCGCTATTGTCATCATCAGTCCCGATATTAATAGGGCATGTAACTGCATTAATGGCGGTCGTCTTACAATGGTTCATTCAGTGTCCCCGTTCCGTGTTCCCCCGGATCCTGCCATCAGCACCTTTTGTTTTCATTCTGATTTACGACCATTTAAATGCATATCCTTGTGGCTTGTCTCGGGCGTAATTTGCATAATGTAAATGATTCTCCTGCGGACGGAGCAGTGCAGTGCTGCGAGTGGAACTGAAACTGAAACGGCAACTGCAGTTCGCATATGTGTAAGCCAAGCCCTCCACGGCTCCCCCTTTTGAGGTCAACCATTTTCTCTGCAATTTTCGCCATTTTTCGCAGCGTTTTTCCTACTGCAGCTGCTTTTCCAATTGTTCTCTAGCCCTCCGCTGCCGCTGCCGCCACCGCTCGTTGTGCTTACATAAGTAATTGAGTGTGTTCTCGATAATGCACTGGCAGTCGGCACCCTTCACATCCTCCGGTTACCCTGATTTGCTCCTTAGTTCCATCTCACACTTTGTTTTGGTGTCGTTTCGGGTGAACTCTGACCCGCCATTGAAGCGCTCTGCAAATACGAATAATATGCCCGGGGCCAGAGTTCGAGTTCTCCGGTTGAGTGTTCCGGCAATGGCTTTGCTTTTCCACAACTCCCTGTGCTTTGACCCACAAAATGGAGGTTTTTGTCTCGAGATGCATTTTGGCAACAGACGTGGTGGGTAGAGAGTGGGGGTAATGGCAGCGGAAATCGACAGTGAAAGCCTTTATTGCATTTGGGGCTTGGAGAGCTTGAAGCGATTAAAGCCAAGCCGTTTTATGTGCTTTTCTTTTAATTCCTTTACAACGAACTTTATCCTGTTTTAGTTTGCAGAAATGATAATATTTAGTTTAACCTTCATTTTATCAATTTGTATTAATATTTTTAATTTTGCAGCAAGTGTTGTTTAAATATCAACAAAAACACAAACCGAAAACAACTGTAGTAGGTTGACTACATGGTCACTTTAAGTATCGATAAAACTCCGATAGTCGATGAAACGAGTAGTTAAGCTAAGATAAGATCAGATTTCGATTGGATTCTTCGTTCAGAAGTGCAATAAAAGAGACGTGTCAAGTATACCTACAAATAGACTTTAACAAAACTTTATTTAATTTCCTATCCAACTTTATGATTATTCAAGTTTATAAAACATTATCCCCTCATTTGGCTTTCCCAACACAAACTTTTTACTGGATATATTTGAATACTAAATGGTTTCCCATAATTAATTTTATGCATTTCGAACGCAAACTCTGCAACTTGTTGAAGCTGAATATTTAAATTCATTATTATCGAATAAAAACCGAAAAACTTTCCCCTTCATTTTGCATACTTAAATGGAATGTGTTTCCTTTTTTTTTGCTGACACATTTGCATTCTTAATTTCCTCCACAAACTTCTACTTAATGGCTTATTAAAGTCTCCCTCGCTCTCCTTCGAAAGGAAACTAATGAATTAAACGTTCGAAGTCATTTAGCATTCTTAATGCCACGAATTTCGTGGTAATATTTAAGCTCATCCCTAGAAACTATGCTGCTAATCCCTTTTCTTGCTCGGTAAATTCAATTTCCACGAACTTAGTGGCGTCCTTTTGTTCCCTGATAACCACAATCTGGGGCTTAAGTCCATCTTAACTGGGTGTCGGCCGTCTTATCGCTTACTCACCATCGTAGCAGACCTCGGAGTGCGGTATGCATAGCGTCCTAACAAACTGGCAGCCTGAAAGAAAGGGAAAAAAAGGAAAAATCTTTGGTTAGTAGGGAGTACATGAAAGAGTTGTTTAACCGATGCCATTATGAGCGGGTAAGTGGAAAGCAGAGCAGAGCAGTCTTTCAGTTGAGACATAATGATGTGGTAAGAGCCAAATCAGCATTACGTCGCTAAGCAGACTCTCGACACCCCCGAGATCCCAAAAGCATCCAGCCCTCCCATCCTCTGATGTTTTTCTTGCTGGTGGTGTCATGTGTCGCTTGCCTGACTCTTGGCTAAATAAACGCTTTTTATGAGCATGTCGCACATGGCTGACACACACATACACACACGCAGACAAACACTTGCCAGTCGACAGGCGAAGACAACTACAAATTCCTGGCCCCGAAAATATCCTCTTTGGGCCGTTAGTCAAATGTCTTGTCTGTTAGCGTGTCTCCGTGTGTGTGTGACGTCAACAAGAAGAACGCCCGCATCGCATCGGGAATTTGCCAGTGAAAAATTTGCCTCCAACCATTTTCCTGGGGACTAGCATCATGTGTTACGCACGTCCTTTTTGTCCTGTTTGCCCCTACTTTACTCCCTGGTCTACCCACGCCCGAAAATTGCGTCACTTTGGAACTTTGTTGTCAACAGTTTTCGTGGTCTTTGCCTGGCTTTAACTTTGCCCTGTGACAACGTCGCTTCGACATTCGTTGGCCATTAATTAAGCCAAAGTAATTTCATTTGGCTGCCACAGCCTCCACCATCACCACCACCACAAATGCCACATTTCTGGCTGTTTTGTTTTTAATTGCTGAATAATTGCAGCCCGGCCAAAAAGGCCAAGCGAATATTAATCTCAACGGGCTGAGGGTCCCGGTCCCTTGGCGATAAGAGGGCTCTTTGAATGGCCAGAAATTAAGTAGCTTCTCACAAAAAGAGTTTGCCCGAGGATGGGTAAAGATTTTCTGATGAATTCATCAGACAGCCGGAAAAAGTAGCACAGCGAATTGGAAATTGCTCGGACTTTTCCATTAAGGCACAGTTAGAGAATAATTTTAATACGTTCTTAGAATTTTATAAGAATTTATTTTCCGATTGAAGACCTACCAAAGTTTCTTAATTATTAAAAAAGGGTTAAAAGTGTTCCAATTTAAATGGGAACAAATATAAAATAAAGTTTCTACCCTTCCTCTTCACAATAAATGCTAAAAACAATTAAAAACTTTTGTGCCAAAAGAACAATCGGAAAAACTTTGCCATTTTTCACTTAAGTACCTGACATCCAAGAAGACTATAAAATTCTTAATGACTCTTTGCTTAAGTGCGATAAACTTGATTTTTATTCTCTGTGTAGTTAGTCGAGTGGCTACATTGTTTGGCCATATGGAGTCCTTTCTATCCTTCTTTCTGCCCTTTCAGCATTGTCGAGTCGACAGAGTGAAGTGCACTCCACATCCGGAACCAAGAAGCATAAACGTTCAGTTTGCCTCCCCCAGTCTGCTGCGAAAGTCATGGGCCGTCGGGGAAAAACAGTCAATAAATGTGGCGACACAGGCCGTCTGTCTATTTATCAATAGGCCAACAGAGACGTGACCTGAATGCCAGACGGAAAAAGGCAATATTAAATAGAAACTAATTAAATGAGATGGTCAGGCAATTTTGTGGCAAGTGAGCGGTCTAATTGCGATGGCATTCCAATGCTCTTCTACAATGGAAACTTAAAGAGACCAATCAACCCAAGGGATCAGAGTTCCACAGACTGGGCTCATAAATATGCGAACTCATGGCCATTGTCCCGGTAAGCTGGGGCTGCATTGTTTTTCCGATTTTACCTGCCCTTCTTTTTTTCATTCTGTTTTTTTTCTTCTCTTCTACACGCCCACTGATAAGGCCACGCAGCGTATGCGCAATGTGGCGTTACGTGCCGCATTCATAGGCCATTTTAACGCCATCGTTGAGCCATGCAAATGCGCACTGGCCATCGAGTGTGGCAATAAAAATAAGAGGCATCCTGCGAACCCAAACGGCTAAAAGCTTTTACGGCAACAAAATCCCCGTCGGACAGCAACTATCTGTACGTCATCCTTTTTCTCGAACGTCGATGCAATGGTGATGCAACTATTATTTATGGCGGTTTCGATTTGCTACACAAGAGAATGAAAAGTGAAGAATCCTTGGCACAGGCTTCGACCGCAAGGAGGAAATGGCCAGAGCCTGGCCCGCATTCAGACCGGATTGCCAATCAACAAATCAAAATCTGTGATGTCGATGGGGGGTTCGCAACGGCAATCATCCTTTTGTGCTCGCTCGGAATTGATTGATAAGTTGCCGTCGTCGTCGGTCGATTCTTTTTGCAAGCTTGATTGTTAGCTCACAGTTTCACTTTTTTCCCAATAGGGAAATCTTGGCCAGCCTAAATTATGCCAGAGGCCAATGGTTGTTGCTGGGCAAACACTGGAGACGCAACAATTTAATAAATTTGCCGCCCCCCCACGGCGAAATTGAAAATTCCGAACGCATTTCCCATTCCCTTATTGTGGTTGCTGTGGCAGTTGCCTCATCGGGAAGCCCAGCCCTCCCTTCTCACATTTTGATTGATGTCCACCGGCACACCGCACATAGTTAAGAGGAAGCTCCTTCGGAATTTTCCGCCTGGCCAGGGCTGTTTACTTATGAGACTCGCTCCTGGGTAAAGTTTCCCAGGTTCCCTCCTGTTCTGGTTCTGGTTCTGCCTGCTGTTTGCTTTTGGGTCAAGGCATTTAAAAAAAAGAAAGATTTTCATTTCATAACGACATTTTTTCTCCTGTCATCTGGCCACGACGCAGGCACAAACACACGGACATGGGCACGTGTGACCAGGACAACGTGTGGTATGTGTAATATGCGGAGGCGAGCGTTGAGAGCTTTGCCGACATCTTTAATGACAATAATGAATGTCCGCACCCTGATTACGTGCAGCATTTACCCCAGACAGCCAAACCAGCAACGTAAAAGTCCAAACACACATTTTTAAGGGGATACTCAAAACTTGAACTAGTGTGATTTTATGGAAGTTGATGTATAATAAAAACAGGGAATCAGGATCAAAATTTAAAATCTACATTGTCCCTTTGGGTAGTTAAAGAAAAATGGCATTTAGATTGGGGCCAAAAGGGTGACATTTTTACTGATAACCTTTTATGTACATTTTAACCACTTCTGGTTTAGTAAATGTTTTAATGTTTAACTTTGAGAGATTATACTTTGTAAGGGTAAACACTTTTATTTAGATTTTACAAATTACAGTTTCTCTTGACTATTTCAAAGCTAAAGATAAATTTCTGGCATGTTTCAAAGGAAAATATTTTAGTTTTATGAATAACAAAATAAATCAATTTTCTGGGCTCACGAAAAGGGCAATCTAATCATATCCTCAAAATTAAATATTTTAACAGGAAAAGCTAAGTCTGACAAAAGACAATCTGTAATCCTTCAAAACAGCAAACACATAAAAAGCACAAATTCAAGTTTGAATTTAGACAAAAAACAATAGAACAAAGATTTAAGCCTTGATTCTTTGACAAATTTTCCAGGAATTACACATTGAAAATGTAAAACTCAAAAAGGAATACTTCTTTGTAGAAAAGCCAGAAATAAATAGTATATAAAGTACATTGCTAACTGGTGCTTAAAACACAATTACCAGACCAGGCAAAAATGGTTGTAAAACATGAAACATGAAAATACGAAAACAAGGCATATTTTTCCTTTGGCCAGGCCAGAATAAAAGATGCGTTAAAGTCGCCCCGCGGGCCACAATACTTGCGTTGACAGTACGTGTCAATGGTGGGGGCGAGCAGGGTGAGCAAGGCGAACAGCTGTCAGGGAAGCAGGGCGGCACAAAGAAAATAAATAATAACAAAGGACATTAATCATGACAACGACAACGACAAGGCAAAGGCAAAGGACTTTCTCTCTTTTATTTTTTTTTTGTTTTTGTTTTTTGATATCCAGTGAGGACGAGAAACTGTGGCAGGGCCAATGGCAAAGCAAACATGATGCAAGTGTTCCGCACAGCTCGTTAAAGGGCAGCATAACAAGTAAACATACATACACCTACATGCTTTAGTACACATATAACAGCCAGGATCTGTTTATGCATTAAAGTCCTGCTCCTGCCTACTTGACTTGCTAAGCGTTTAATGCCATCACACACACATGCGCCACTCGCGCTAAGCAAACAGAATAACAAACAAATAAAAAGCACCGACGATGCATTGCCTCTCCGGCTTTTCCCCATTTTCTTTTCTTTTCCTTTTTTTTTTTTTGCCACGGCTTAGTTGCAGCTGCAAAAGTTGTCGCTGCTTGGGAGCTTTATTAAGTGTAAATAAGCGGCGGCATTTCACAGCAGCTCCGGGTCCTGCTGCCGCACATTCCTTTTGAGTGGGGCATTCCTTATGGCAGGACAAGCCACACAGATGGAAAAATTAAGTGTTTTCAGCTCGAAACTAGTAACTCAAAAGCTCAAAAGGATTTTTGCTGATGCAGCTTTCAAAATATAAACAGACTTTGTAACTTTCAACAAACTTTACCAATGGAATTTTAAAACTTACATATTTGTATAAAAAGTTTTTGAAGGTTTTAAAAGCTATAAAATATTTTTTTTTTTGGTATTTTAACTGTCTAAATTTTAGTAAAAAACACATTTAAACTCTTCAAAATTTTAGAATCCTTTCAACTGCTAATCCTAAGATTTGTTGAAGACCCATTTGAAGCTTATTAGTTCTGAATGAGTAAGCAGATTTTAGAAGATAAGATTTTAAGTATATTTTTTCCTGTGCTGTTTCCTCCAACATGTTGCTGCAACTGAGCTGTTTTTCATTTTCTCTCTGACGCCGCCGGCTCCTTGATTTATGCGAACTCATTTTATTCATAAATTTTAAACACGTTTGACGTCCTTCGTTGGGAGTCCCATGGAAATCGAGGCACGAAGAGGGGCGTTTTTTCCTCTTTGGTATGCCAACTGTTTCTGGATTTTTCTGGGTGTGGGTGGTTCGTTGATTTATCTAGCCACATTTCTAAACAAATATTTTTGGCCCCTTCCAGGCAACCGACGCCAGTGACCCAAACAAATTTGGCACGCAATTAGGCTGCCTCCAGTTCTTTACATTTTTTTTTTCGTCCACTTTAAAACGAACGTCCAGCATAAATATAAAGTTTTTATGGCAGCCACTTTGATGCCTCAGCCTAGGACTAATAAATTGAGTGCCACTTCTGACCAGACCAGAGATACAGTAGACAAAATGATATAGAGTTTTAGAGGGGAGTTTCAAGGGAGTTCAATTTACATTCTGTGAGCCAAGGAAAATGTTTATTTGTCTACGGTTGATCCAGCAAGAGACTGCCGGATGTCAACACTGTGCAAATATGTGTCAAGTACCTGTCCAAAAATTGTTTGTTTGTTTATCGGATGAGCAAGATATGAAGGGCTCTGAAAGGCACATGGAATATGAGTTAAGGAAATGTTGCCAAGTCTAAGGAGACATTTTTGATGACGCCTCAAAATATGCAATGAAAAGTGTCTGCCCATGCATGAAGCGAACGGATAGCAAACACTTTTTTGTACTTGTAGATATTTGTATTTTAAAGTGCAATGCAGAATGACAACTTATCAATATGACTGTAGTTGATGTATCTTACAGACAGATATGAGCCATAGATAGACGTATTGAAAGGATACCGAAAGCACTCAAAGATGTTTGAGGTTCACATACAAAGTCTTGGGAAAGTAAATTCTTCTTCTCAACTAAGCAATCAATTGAGTTTTCTACCTTTATCAATTTCAATCTCTTTTCTCAATCGAAAACCTATCTTTAGGTTTAAGACATCAAATTTAAAGAGCTCCACACAAACAAATCCGCTTTTCTCATTCATTATCTAACGTCTTTGTGGGTAACAAATTTCCAAAAAATTCCTAACGAACTTGCTTGTCTCATTACCGAGAAACTGCTTTGGTCATCTGCATGGTGCCAAGTTCAAATTACACTGAAAAAGGTGAGCCAAGGTTACAGCTTCAATTTCAAAATGAAAGAGTGGAATGAGAAGCATTATATTGTTTCAATTTGTATCTACATTTTCAGCTCAATCTTTGCATGTTAAACATTACTTTCGTGCATATAAAACATGCAGTTTTGCAAAAACAGAGCCAGGTATGTGCACATCAATTTTGCATTTCATTCATGAAGTCCTTTGAATACGACCAGTGCCTTTTCCTATCTACCTCTGGCTGCACTTTGTGGGCGATTTATTAGAAATTCCTTTTCCAAAAGTGACCCCAAATGGAACTGCATTCTTGTCCTGCCTTGCCAAACTGCAATGGAAACGAGCAGCGTCGTGGGTTTTTGGGCCATCTACAAATCGAATACGCATTTGGACCGGAATCGAAATCGAAATCAAAATTTCAAATATGATGACTGATTGCTAGCCTCGGGCGAACACGGCAAAGGTTGCTAGGCATCCCGGTGAGTCTCATCCTGCGGCTTACTGCTCGTTGCAAGTCAGCAAATGCATCCGCCCTCTCATTTTGTATGGATTTATGCCAGGTTTGCTGGTTTCAGCTAAACTCAATCAAATGCAAATCCCAAGCAATTGGCTTTAAGAGCTCAAAAAATAAAATCAAATAAATTGAACTCAACGCCCACAATCGGTTATAGATATAGCTATGAGGGCGGGGTCGATTTACGATGCGATCAAATTGATTTAATTAAATGCAAATAAGTTGTAGCCATTGTCGTCGGCACTTTGCGCTTCAATGGATTTAATGTGCAATTACTTTTCCAATTTGCCATAAAAGAATACACACAAATCTTGATTGCTTATTACTTGGGTCACACATTTTTCACCATTTTCCGGCCGACGTTACGTGCCCTTCATTCCTTTCTCCCATTTCTTTCTCGCTTCTTTGGTTTTCATTAATGTTTAGGCAGCTTTTAATTTGCACTCATTAATGATGGGGCAGGGGGGACAGGCGTGAAGCAAGGAAATCGAAGTAAGGGCCCTGCCATTGGCACCCAAAAAACAGGATTCGCTCATGAATTTTCATTAATTTCCGCAAAGTTGTTGCCCCACTGCCACTGCGGCTGTTTGTGTTGCTGTTGTACATGAAAAATTCATTAGATTTTTTGCATAAATTATGGCCGGGCAAAGTACAACGAAGATAGGAAAGGCCTCTGCCAAAACAACAACTGCAAATTATTCCACAAACTTTCCCAAAAAACATTTGGCTGACAAAATCACCCAATTTATCGTTGATGTGGAAGCAAACTTAGGTCAAATATTTGACGCCCCAAAAGTTTCCACCTGACAACCCCCCGCAGAGACCAATTAAAGTTGCTCAACGCCCCGAATCCCCGAAAATATCAAATTAAATATGACCTACTTTTTGGTAAGTTTATTAATTTAAATTGCCGAAAATAGGTGTTTTACAAAATGGCAACATGGCAGGTTATACAAATTTATGAGGGTTGTATGGTGTACCTTGTAGTAGGCTGACATGGTCACCTTAAATATCGAAATAATTTCGATAACCGATGAACCGAGGTTAGGCTAAGATAAGATCATTGATTGTCAAGCAAATTTCGATTGGATTCATCATCGTCATCGTTTAAAAGTGCACTAAAATTAGACTTTTACAAACTTGATTTTGATTCAAGGATATCAATAAACCGTTTTAAAAAATCACTTAAATCAAAGTCAATATATTCTTAATAAATTTTTTACTTTCAAAAATTACAGGCAATTTAGTTATAAGATGTGCAAAAGGATATTGTAAAATATGAAATGAGTTAAATTAATAAAAAATGGTAAAAAGCTTTTAAGTCCTGGGAAACGGGAAGCCTAACGACTGGCTTGATTTCTTCGGAGGAACGTTTAGCTAGTGGCTTGACCCAAACAATGGTTTTCCTTCTTGTATGTGGGTTCTTGTATTTCCAGACTTGCCTGCTTTCACGTCATTTGCTATCGAAGTGGTCTAGGCCTTTTCTGATTTGGAAGGCTTTGGATTTCCTTCAGTATTAGCCAAGGAATTGCTTGCTGAAGGGGCAGCCAAGGCACCGGCCATGCTTACTCGACGCTGTATGCGGGATGCAGGTTGGGTAGAGGATTTGGATGGAGTCACATATGCCTCAAGGTGATTTACATCTGGTTCTTCTTCTTTTACCTTGCTAGAACTCACCGACTTCTTGGCATCTTGATCACTTTTGTAATCACTGCGAGTTTTAATAACGATTCGTTCAGGTATCTTAGAAGCCACTGTTGGGGCTTCTTCATCATCTTCACTAGACTCCGATTCAGATTCTTCGCTGCTCTCCTCCGTTTCCTCCTCCGATTCAGAATAGGAATCTCCTTCGAAATCGGAATATTCATCGTCCTCGGAATCGCAATCGCTATCAGAGTCGGACTCACTACCATATCCCTCCTCCACATCATCACTATCCTCGATCTTTGCATTTAGATACTCCTGGACAAGTTTGCGCTGCTCCTTAACAGACATGTTAAGCTGCTTTGACTTATCGAATACCTGGTTAACCAAGCCTTCCAAAGATGAAGGGCTAAGATCTTTAGCCTTCTTGGTAGATTTCTTCGAAACATGAATTTCCTTGGACATTGTGATAGTTTTTTTTTTTTATTTAACAATTTGGTATATAACGAGAATTTTGGTTAGAAAAAAATATTCGTGTTCGAACGAATGCCTGGGAGCTAATGAGGTTTCAGGTTGAAACTAAATGTGAAGTTTGATATTTTCTAAAAGCTGCCTACTCGGATATTTTCTATAAATTCTAAGGATTTTCTTTTAAAATAAAATTTAAATACTATCCAAAGGGCTGGTATGTTCACCCATTCTTATTCAACCAAACTTAATGAAGAAATATTTGACTTGTGACCCTAATTTGTTTGCCACACCAGCTGAATCAATTACTGTGGCGCCGCAAAGTATGCCACGCAGGTGGGGCAATTTATTTGTGCGGTCACCAGAAGATAAATCAAATCATTAGTTCGGAGGTCATTCGAGTGGGAAGAGAAGGAGTCAAAGGTCGCTATGTATGTTGAGAGGGCGGGTGTATTAATGCCAAATTAGAGACGCCCAATGGAGCGTGATTACGGCAGGCCAAACATCGCAATTGGAACACATAAATACACATTTGCCTTTTGGGGGGCTAAAACGCTTATTTGCGTATGCGTGGCACATAAAAATCCAGTTCTTATTAAATTTCCGCACGCCTACACATGTCCTGTTCCTTGATGGTGGGATAACCACCACATCCACATCCACACATCCCCCCCCCCCATCCTGTGGCAGTTGGTAGCAGCTGTTTGGCTTGTTCCTTGGCATTTGCCCAATGAATTTTGCATGTTTTCCATCGGCCCTATACGTATGTTTTTTATTTTTACACTTGCCGCAGGCCAAGAAGCACTTTCTTGACTTTGGTTTCCTATTTGTTTGCCTTTGGGGAATAGGCTGTCTTTGTTGCACCTTCAAGGCGGCTGGCAGAGTAAACAATATTAACATTAAATTAACATTTATTTGCTTTTGCCAAAGGTTTCCTTCCCCTCAAGGATGTCAAATAAATACATTTACATACATTACGCAACACATATGAGGGCTTTCGGTAGTTTTCTGAGCTAACTCTCTAGTTGCCATTAAAAACCTTCTAATAGCCCGCTGCCAAGGGCGGACTTATAAAAAAAACCACAGAAAAAAATGAAATTGGGAACCCCGAAAATAGGAACTTCAAAAGGCAAGCCAAAACAAAGTGCCAACAAAGTAATTGCAGGGATTTGCCTTGCGGCCACCTCGATGGGCAAATTTTTGGAGAGGGCGGCCCTAGACCATTTTCCATACTTTATATATGTATTGTATACATATATATGTATGTCTGAGTGTGGGGAAATAATACTCAAAGAGGCGGTTACCCGGGGAGCCAAAAGGACGAAGGACTAGCAACCAGTTGCCGCGCCATTTTCTCGTTTTGTTTTCCCCTTACATTCCTTTCTTTCCTTTCTTTTTTTTAATGTGCCAAAATGTATAACTGTAACTGCTGTGCATGGGTTGTCGTTTGAACAATTTTACGCATATTTGCACTTAAATATAACATCTCCCTGCTATATATATATATATACATATATGTGCCTGGCGAAACGCCCAGATATTTACGATGGCACGTTAATTTTTATGACATTTTCTCGCTGGCAATTCGTTTGTCCCTCGAAATGCCCGCCGCCAGACAGCGATTCCGATTCCCATTATGTCAGGTTTATGAACGGGATATATATCTCAAAAGGGCACAAAGGTTCGGGCTAATAAACCTATTAAATTTGGTGATAAATGTTTGAGGAGGGGCTTGAAAACCTGTGCGAAATTTAAGTCATTTTTGGGCATTAAATATTTAGGGCATACGGATCGGAGTGATATCATTTTTGTTATGTAAGTTTTTATTGTTTTATTGTTGGCGGACTGAGATTACTTCTTGTTGGTAAACAAAAATAATCAACAAAATTTGTATAAACATATTTAATAAATATTTATTTTCGTGCTTATAATTCCCTTTTAAAAGAGAAAGTAAAGCCATTACCTTGACTAAATTTAGTTTTCTTTTCGCATTTCCTAATATAATTTCTTTTCTTTTTAATGAGCATCATTTAGTCGAGTCTCTTAAATCCACCTCCACTTTTATTGTTATATTTCTTTGTTCGCTTTTCTATATTTTTATATGCCTGCATCTTAACGATGATTACGGTTATTATTCATTAGCCAGGCTTTTGTCAGCTGGCCTTTTCCCTCCATGTCCATGTCCTTGATTATTTGCAATTTTTCCAATCAATCGAGAGTTGGGAAAAAAAAGGAGGAGTGTCTGCCATGGTTCATTGGTCATTCAATATCTTTCCTTCCGCTCGATTGCTTATCTCTGTGTGGAATACAACGGCGAGGACCTGGCCTGACCTCCGACCCCTTTGTTTCTACGATATTGGAGCCGTGCATCGGACTGTCCAGGTGGGCGGCATCTTGAAAAAGGAGGCGTAACACACGTACACATAGAGATGATGTGTGTGTGTGTGTACTTATTGTTTCAGCTTTATCTCTTAATTACATCTTCATCTGGCCATTGAAAGCCTTCGGCTCGGAAAGTTTAATTAACTCGCCAGAACCTCTTATTGGCCAGACTCTGAAGCATCGATGAGCGGCAGATGCGAGTGCTCCGAACCGATACTGGCCATCATGTGGACCAGTGGGCAATTTAATGTAACCACATAATTGAATTGCCACTAAAATCTACTAAATATGACAGAATCGAGTATAGAGCGTGTGCAGGCTATGGCCACAAATTCATTAATTTCAGGAATGCTTTAGAAAGTCCAGATAAGGATATCAAACAGCCCGCATTTTGTATCCACAACACAAATATTATTTCCTGTGGCTTGCCATTGTGAATTTTTGTTTCATTTTATTATGATTTTTTGTTTATTTTTTTCCTTTCAATATTTGGCTGCAAACTAAATATCTTCAAACATTTTTGTGGAAAATATTTCCATTTATTGAATTTATTTTGAAGGTTTTCATATTTAAAGAAGAGAGCTCAAACTGTTTTTATGCTTAAAGAAAAACTTAAAATATTTGTAAAAAATTCTTAATAAATACATTTAAATTCTCTCAATTTTATTTTGCAAATATTTATATTCACTTTTTGTTTACCCACACACAAAGGCCAGGCAATTTCCAATTTCTGTCTCAGTTTTTCAGCAACCACTTTCAGCAGCCAAATCTCTGATCTCCGCCAGAGCAATGCAACTAACTGCTTTCCACTTAGCACAACTTAATCCCCTGAACGGAAACTCAAACTGAAAACTGGGATAAATCCTGCACTTCTCTGGTCCTGCTGCGAGGACAATGGCAAATGAGGGGAAAACGCAGCACTAACTGCCCCACTCACACGTACTGCATATACTATATGGTATGTGGTATATGGTTTATGCTACAAAGTGCGTTGCCAGCCTGTCGGCAGTAATTGCGGCGCTTAAAAGGACAGACGAGTTTAGGGCTTAGCTGCAGATGCAAGAGCATTTTCCCAGCTACATTTTCCAATCCTTTTTTTCCCAACATTTCCCACCAAATTGAGCGTGCCCAAAGAATGGAGAGGAGAAAATAACTCGTAAAAAGTTTTCTATCCAATGAAGCGCAAGGATGTCTTCTTTCTTTGACTCAAGGAATTCTTCTTCTTCTTCTTCGTTTCACTGATACTCGATTATGTTGGCAATATGTTTACGTTAACAAAGACCAAAGCCCGCCCCATTCCGCCCGCCCAGAGGAAAACATCGTTGCCTGCCGGCAGACAGCAATTTGTTCCAAATGACTTGAGCGTGGCGCAAATTAAGTGCATTTTCATTAGTTGCAAGTTGTTTGCCATTTGAGAAATTAAATTGCCGTTGGAGAGTCAAGGAGTTCAAATGGGAATGGGGAAACGGGTCGAGGCGCTTCAAGTTGCTGCACAGCAATTATTTTTCCGGCTCACATTCACACTCAACCTTGGTGGCTACCAAAAAGGGCTATCCTTTGGTTATCTCCCATCCACGGCGCTATCATCCTCGGCCCCACTCAACGCAGTCATCCAACCTTTATGAATTTCGACCATGTGCAAAGTTATTTGCCAGGGTAAAAGTGCACAAAAAATACCAAAGTAGAGAACCCGAAGAACCTTGCTCCACTTTAAACTGGATGAAACTGGAATCAACAAAATATTTGTGGGATGGAGTGCGGAAAAAATAGCAAAAGCCACAGGACGTCAGCAAGGGATTTTTTGGTTTAAGCCAAGGGGGAGGAAGAGAGAAGAATGCATTAGTACTTCCACCTGTCTGCCCAAAAAGTCCATAGTCATGTTTTTGTTTCATACACTTTGGCCCAGCAAGTTTGCAGCAGGAGGAAACTTTGACAAAATGCATGAAGGTGACGAAAAAAACAAGAGCTTTGTATTTAAGACCAGCTTTAAAGTTTCCAATTTCCCAGAGAACTAAATACTTTCCACTTTGCAAGTCGATAATTCCTATTTCATGGCATATAAAAAGCAATTTTCACAGCTCTTTTCAAATTGCAGCTTTAATTCAATGAAGAGTTTATAGTATAAATTTGAACCTCACAGCTGGGCTTAACATGAGCTAAATAGCAATCCACAAATACTATATATAGTACCTATATCGACGTCTATATAGCGCTGAACAATTGCGGTTTGTGTGCCAAATCAACCGCAAAGCATGATGTAAAGCGGCAGCCAGAGGTTCGCCGCATTCCATTTGGCCGAAAATACAAAAATGAACACACCATGGCGTATACGCAATACGTTTTGAAGTTTCAGGTTTCTACATGGAAATAGCATTAGCACGGCATCCATTTGAAAAGTTTCACAATGCCCAGCCTCCATGGCAACGTCGGCCAACTAATTAATAATGCATTCGCATCTGATTTGAAAATGTGAAAATGCGCGAAAATGTAAAATCCAATTTCGATCCAATGCAAGCGAAAAAAAGAAAGAAAAAACTAAAGGCCAAGTTGGCTTTTGCATTCTGTGTGCGCTTTCGGCTGAGATAGATGAAGCTGAATTTCATTAAATTCAGAGAATGCTGTGGAAAATATGAAAACTATCTGACGGTGCCGAGTGCTCTGAGTGCAAATATTTGTTTTTCAAATGAAATGAATAAATGCAGTGAACGGCCAGACAAAGTTATCTACTAGCTGCTGGCTTTGCCTCATTCGCATCCTTCGTTTTGTTGTCAGTTAAATGAAGTTGTTTTTACCAGTTTGCCGTGCTGATCCGCTTGGTTGGCTGACAAAGGTCAATGTGTTAGACACTGTTGCATGCAACAGGGAGCTCTCGAGAGGATGGCATGTGCGAATCCCACAGCAGCTCCTCCGGTTCCAGTAGCCAGCTGCTGTTAATTAAATTTTATTGTGCAGCCATCAAAAGTTGCACACCACAATGGCTGGAAAGGGTGATAGGTGGTGCCTGGTGGATGTTGGATGAAGTGGCAGTGGCAGTGGCAGTGCCACCATGAAATATGGCAACCAAGGAGCAGCAGGAGCATCAGCTGCTGCTAATGATGATGTTGCTTGTTGCCAGTCGCCTGCCTGCTAATTTATACATACACATATAATACACACACACACATATACACACAATCATGACACGGCCGACAACAATGTGGAGGAGCAGTCAACTGCAAAGCCAGGACATTTATCTATTTGTGTATCTGTAGCAGCCCAAGGATATGAATGTGAGTGTGGGTGTAGCTTTGTGCACCTGCAGAAACAGAAGCAGCAGTGGTGGCAGAGGCAGCGGTGGTAGCAGCAGCAGCGGAGCAGCAGCATCAGCAATCAATAAATCCCAGGACCCAGCTCCAGGTCCTGTTGATTCTTGCGCAATTCTGTGCATAAATGCAGAGGCGGAGCTCCATGGTTAACTTTGCATGTGATGTGGGCCGATGGCTGACGTGCATGCAACAACGAAAGCTGCAAATTTGCATGCCCAACAAAGGCAGCAACTAGTTGTTGTCATGGCAGCAGGGATGCTCTGCAGGATATGAGCTGTGAATCCTGCAACTAGACCTCATCCTCTTATGCCTAGGCCCCCATCACTCCCACATCACTTCCACATTGCCATGATTACGAAAGGAACTTAGAGAGATGAATACGATAAGCTGGAAAATGGTTAGCTCGAGCACAAGTTGGTTGAGTCCGGGAAAACGAAACTGACAGCTTGCAGTGGATAATTTATGCTTGGCTGATATAGTTACAAAAATTTAATCCCAGCTTAATTGGCTAAATAGAAAACATAACGTCAATCAGATTATGACATGGAAACCTGAAAGAGGAGCCCGAGAAAACACCAATGAAAAGAGATGCATTTCGAAGAAATCTGAACTAAGATAACATATAAGCTGTCTCATTTTTTAAGCGGCTTTCGCAAATTAGCAAATAGAAACATTGGCTAAAATTCATGAGCTTATTTAGCTGTGAAAATAAGTACTGCATGTAGTGGGAATAGAAAGCAAATGCATTTTAAATATTCATAAGCAATAAATGTTTTGTTTGATCGAATGTGCGAATACATTTTGAATATTTTAGCAGTCCGAAACACAAAACTTTTTCCATATGTGCCAGTTTTTCTGTTCTTCTATGAATTTGGAAATGCAAAGGCAGCCAAGTGTGAAATGATTGCAAAATTTATCATGGGAATGCAGGTTTTCGGCAATAAATATAACTCATATATATTATTTATTTTACTCAAAAGAGTATTAAAGCTATTTTGGTAAGAAAAAGTGCCAAAAATCAATAGCAATGAATCTGGTTCGTTCACACACATGATGGTGAAATCACCTCAACCCGTAATTGGCCCCAATGATGTTCCCTGCCTTTGGTGGGCCTGTTGCACATGATAGTCGCCGTAACTCACTTAGCCAGCTTTTGGGTCGGTTCCGGCCGTTGAGGCCATTTCCTGGCCAAAACCTGCTGCTGAATGCAACAGCAGTTTGCTGTTGATGTTACTGTCCCGGATTCCTCGCCCTGGCCAATTGGATTATGCATGGTGCGGACTAAACTAGTTAAAAACATATTTACACACAGCTACCAGACACGGACACGGACATGGGCATGGACATGGACATGAGCCACCTTGTCGTCCGGGGAGCAAGGCTTAAAAGCCATGTTTCTCTTTTGCTGCGTTTCTGGTTTTGTGCGTCAAAGTTTTAATTAAACTGGTTTATGTTTTTGCCACAATACACACACAAAAAGTTAACACACGAGGCGGTTGCAGTTCGCCAGGGAAACCGAGAATCGCCAGGGACTAATAACGTATGTGGTACGCCTTTTATCGGTTGCAACTAGGCTTGTATTATTGAATTAGGATTATTGATTGTTCGATTTGTTAGCAAGGTATTACAACTTAATTAAGACTTTGGAAACTCATAAAACTGCATAGATTTCATCTATTCCTTAAGGACACTCACCAACATTGCCCTCCGCTTGAGCAAGATCTCCATGCGTGGCGAGCAGAAGGATTAGCAGGAGTGCTCCGAATGGCAATAGTTTGGCCGGATGTCGCAGGGCGTCCAGGCTGCAGCAGAGGAGTGGCAACTTAAGCTGGTGTTGCAGTTGCCTGTGCGCTCGTTTATTTCGGTAGTGCTGCACTTGCTCTTGCTGGGCAGAAGGATGTCGATCCTGCTCCTTCTGCTGGTGATGGTGGAATGGAGGCCTCTGATTAGACCAGAACTGCTCGCATGCTCGCCCCGCCGACGACTCCTGGTCCTTGACTGTACGTCGTGCTCTCTGGTGCTTCGGCTCTTCAGTTGTGGTGCATGGATGTTGCTGCCGTTGTTGTACATTGCTTGCCATGATAATCGGCACACCTGGAAAAGTCGGAAAACCAATTAATTAAGCAACAAAGGGACAGCGGGGGTTAAGCAATATCTTAGCTGGAGATAAAACTAAATTAAGCTGAACTTAAAAAAAAAAAGCTACAGGATAGCTAATCGATATTAAGATACATGTAAAAACTACCCTGAAACTACTATCTTTGTACTTTTACATTCTTTTTCAGTTTGACCTTTACTTGTTTACACAAAAAGTTGTGCATGATAAGGTCGGATATTGCATTTTAATATTTGACATTTTTCATCAGAAAACTAATAAAATGTGCAAAAAGTTTCCAGGTGATTTGCTTTTTAATAATTTCAGCTCCAAATATTTTCAAGGTTATTTAAATATGCAGATTTTTAGCACCAAATCAAACTATTTTTAAATGTCAATGCCAGTTTTTCATTTGTTTAAGCATCGTTTTTAATAAGTTTAAATTTTCAATTAGCTTTTCTGGGTGCACAAAACCCGCATTTTCCTCGCCCACATCCTTGTAAGTCTGTACTCAAATTTATGCAGGAATTTGCACTAATAACCTGGTGCTCCTTTGCTAAGTGGGTGGTGGTATAGCCCCCTCCCACCAAGTACATCCAAAGTATTTCGGGTGCCTGCCTTATTGTTGTTACCGGAAATTAGCAATGTATATTCGGGAGGAGCTGCCTTGGTTGGCTCTTGAGGGAAATTGCATTTTATTGTGCCAGGGACAACTTTTCGCTTTTCCGGCATTTCCATATTTCATATTTTCACACAATGCGCACAAAGGAAAACCTCGGCAAAGGCGGTGGGGGAAAACTGCGAGGGAAGCCGGGTGTATTGAAGTGGCTAGGTGGCTGGGAATCTCCGTTGTTTGAGCACATTTGTCGCGCTGCAGTTTCCGGGTTTTTTTAGTTGGCCCTCTTTTGTGCGGGTTTTGTTTAGCCTCCGGTGATGGTGACTGGTGACTGGTAACTGGTGACTGGTGGCTGGCGACTCCTGCTGCCGAATCCTTAGCAAGTATTTCTTGCTCTTTATATGGTAATAAATGTCAGGCCTTGGTAAGCGTTGTTAGCCCATGGCAGTCAGCAGGGGAAATTGATTTTCTTTGCCGCTTCAGTAACTCCATGTTGTGATGGGCAGGTGGTTGGGGTTATGGGTTCTGGGTTCAGGATTGTGGATACCGTCTGGGTCATTTGGCGATAAGCGCGTCAGCCTCGCTCAAGGTTGACATATTTCGGAACGAGGGTGATGGCAGCAGGGTTTCATTCTGAAAGCAAAGTCAAACCGCCCACGAAATGGGATTCCAGCTCGTCAACAGCACCGCAAAGATGTGGCAGATTAAGCCCCGAAACAAGATACCAAATGAAATGGCCTTGTTAAAAAATAAGCCATATGTTTCGTTCAAGGAAAACTTAATAGTTTTAACCTTAATTTAAAAAAAAAACAAGGAAAATCAATCAAAAGGTCCCTCTTTCTGTTATAAAATCAAGTTAAAAGGAAGACTAGGGAAACTAATTTGCTGACTCAACAATAACAACAACATCAAGTACAAGCTTTTCGTAATCAATAAAGAAAGTACATAAAGACCCCATCTTGATGAGAACTAGTTTTCCGAAGGAAAGTCTGCTGACTCACTCACTTATGATAATAAAATTAAGCCAAACAAGCATCAATCAGTGATGAAATTCATTAGCAGGAAATAAGGGAAATTTATTCAGACCAAGGCCGAGCACAATATAAATGTCTTGGCTAACATCTCAATTACGGAAACATCTTTAGTTGTTACATGTCTGGGACATGGTAATATGATTTCAATCATTTCTCGAAACTTGCATGATTAATGTATTTCAGATTCCTGGCCTCTTCCAGCCAGAGAGCAGCTTCTAATGGACTTTATTGGCCTGACAGCGGGAATGGAGACCTCATTCTTGGCGAATGTCTCCTTGGGCCTTCGGGGTTGGCTTGGTTGGTTCATTTTTCATGCACAGGCCGTAGCAGAAACTAAACTACAAAGCTAAGACTAAGCTCCAATAAGTTGGATGGGCAACCAGATGACACCGCAGCATATGGGGCGGGATAATTAATCATAGTACGAACGTGCTAGGACAGCCAAAAACTTTGCAACCCAACTTGCCGGATCCGGATGGGGGAACCAAAAACAAAACTCAACTGAACCGTAACACATTGAATCGAATCGACCGAAAAGTTAAAAGCCCAGCTCTTTATGCCAACCCAATGCGATTATTCATGGCTGGCAAAGGGGAATATCTGATTAGTTGGCCTCTCGAATTTAATTAAGGTGACAGGCCAGACTTTGCGGTGGCAGACGGATGCATCATCCTTGGGCTTCTGTCTTCCCACTGCTCCTCCCTCTTCTCCAGCTCCTGCTGCCGCTTCATTTGCCTTCCTTGAATAATTTATGCAACTCAATTAGGCGTTGACCTGGCGATAAAGTTTAATAATTGCAGGTGGTGGTGCTTCGCCCTTCCTTTGCTCGCACTTTAATTAAAAGAACCGAGCAATTAAAAACGCATCATCAGACAGAGTACAACGAATGGAAAAAAGCGCTTGGGGTGGTCAAGACCCAGTTCCCCGATTGCCAAATACCTGGTATTTAATAAAAAGCAGGGAAATGTGTGGTTTCCATAGCCATACAAAAATTTAAAATGATTTCCACTTACAGAATTGCTAGGCAGTAATTTTTTGTAATTAACATTCCAACTTCTTTATATAAATTAACTTATAATTCAGTAAGAAAATCCAGCTATATTAATCAGAGCTTTTAATTATTAAATATCTTAGCAAAAAAGATACTCATAAATTCTGCAAAGCTACAATTTTCATACATTTTTCATGAAAATATGCATAATATATTTTCCATTTATTCCAATTCCAATATACCCTCAAACTCTTTATATAAAAAAACGGAATAACAATGTAAATGTAATTTCCGGAATGGAAAGTGAGTGTGCTAATGGGGCGTGGCACTTTTTTTTTAATATAGTTAACAGCAAAGTGTTTCTGCCTGGCGCACCCTGCTGAACCCACTTGTCCTGGGAAAATCCGGGAGCCGAAAAACCGCAAAGGGAACCACTGTAACCACGTTTGCTCCACGCGAATCGTGTTTGTGGGTCTGCTCCGTTTTAACCGCCCAAAAACCGCGACCACGACTGCAATTAAAATGGAAGAAAAACAGCTCCAGATGAGCCTTTGTGCCTGGCTCCATCTCTCGCCCTTCTTCATCGCATTTCCATTGCTTTCCGCATTTTCCCGCAGCAACACGCGACTTGTTTGCACATTGAAAAATATTCCCCAGCGAAAAGCCAACTGCACTTTCCATTTCCTCGTCACTTTTGCAATTGGCTTTGTCAGGGAAAATATTCCGACAACTGTCACGTCTCAGCCATGGATTTTCAATCATCAATATCAATTGAATTTCTTTGGCTCTGCGGCGAAAGTTTTATAACCCCGCGCAGGAAAGTGCAAATTTCGACAGCAGCTGGCACTCTCGTTTTAAATTATAACAGCCATTTTTCACTGCAGAGTTGCTAACTTTTTCTTATCAATTTACGTTGGCCCCAAAAATTATCGATATCGATAGATCTACACTTTCAGAAAGCCTGCTCAGTGCGTTTGAAATTGTGTTTGCTTCTTGACTTCCTTGAAGGCAACTCATTTCAGCCTTTGACTATGAGTAGCCACTCATTGCATTATGAACTTTTCAAAAGCACCAATTTATGTTATTTATTACGCTCGGCAGGAAGCAGCAGCTCGGAAAAAGTTAAATTGATCGTTAAGAGCTCATGGACGGGGAAAAATTCTTATTAGAGGTTAAATAATCAAAAGCTGGTAGATAGTAAAATTAAAAACTGGTTTAATAAGAAATCTTGGTTTCTGTTATACAGTAGTCTGTAATATTGTAGTAAGCTATGGAAATATAATAAAGAATAAGGCTCTATATTTTTTATTGATTTTAAAATTACTGGATTATTGGCGCATTGGAATATTTGTTCGATTCCGCTGTAGCTTCGTGTAGAGCGGCCCCAATCTGAACAACACTGCTAATCTATCGAAAGTTTGTTTTCTCGAATTTCCTGCCGCTTCACGTGCGTTACAGCTTTCTGAAAATTATTCACAAAACTTGTGCTCGCTAGTCCGAAAGTTTACATAATTTGTTCTTAGCCATGGGTAGGAAGCAAAAATTGAAGAAGGACGCCAAGGCCGCAGCAAAAGCGAGTGCTGCAGAGAATGCGAAAACCTCACTTGTCTCATTGAAAAATGACATTAAGGCTTTGAGCGACGCGTTGGCCGCCAAGGAAAAGACTTCTGAAGAAGATCCTACTCCCGGGTGCAGTCAGGAAAGGTCCCAGAGCAAGGACGCAATGGATCCTGGCTATCGCAAAAAACTCAAGAAGCTGATGGACCTGGCCCAAAAGGTGCCGAATGTGCTGACTCTTCCGGACAAACTGGTAACCGTCGAAGATTGTAATGAAAATGATCAGTCAACGGACAGCGACGATGAGGCCCCTGACCTGGTAGACCCCAATCTGGAAGATTTCAGTTCTTTGGGAGCTCTGCGATCCTCAGATTGTCCAAGGCAATCGCGAGGCGAGAAGAAGGCACGTCGCATCCTAATGAAGATGGATCTGAAGCCGGTCGAGAACGTGGTTCGCGTGACAATGAAGAAGAGTAAGAACTTTTTGTTGTACATCGACAATCCCGAGGTGTTCAAGGTGGCACACTCGGAGACGTACATCTGTTTCGGACCAGTCCGTGTGGAGGACATTAGCACCTCGGCCGCCGCTTCACAGGCAGCAGCCAAGGCTGCCGAACGTTTCCGTACTTCGTCCAATTCAGGCGGTGCTGAGGACGGCAAGGGGGAAAACCAATGCCGAAGGATCCCCTGCTGATGACGACGAGGCCGAGGAGTTGGACAAGGAAGTCACCAAGGATCTGGACGAAAAAGATATTGAACTGGTGCAAATGCAGGCCGCCTGCTCGCGCAACAAAGCAATCAAAGCTCTGCTAATGAACGATAACGATGTGGTCAATGCCATCATGGCCTTAACTGTGGGCTAACAGCTTCTCAATCAAAGTTAATTTATACATGTAAGAAAGGTATTTTGATTTGTTCACCAAATACATGTATTATATTTTCCTAATCTTTTCGATTATTTAACATTTAATGTAGAAAAGCTATAATTTTTCAACTCTTCTACCATAAGAAAACATTTTGGAAGAATGTTTTATAGGGTTTTGGAACTTAATATTGTGTTGAGATTACCTTTTGATTGTCAAGACTTAAGAAAGTAATTTTGGAGGTTTTTATTCTAGATTTTTCAAAGTGTTTTCTTAAGCTCTTTTACTCATTTTTATATCCTCAAATTAGGGTAACAAATATCTTACTTCATAGAGAAATCGTTTTCCGGTTAGCGAGCATTTTCCGGGAAACTTACAGCTGTACATTTCCTACTCAATTGCTTTATTGGATGTACATATGTATGTTCAAAGAAATCAAGATGCAACCTTGTTACGCAAGCTTGACAGCTTCCGGTGCCATTTTTATTTACATTTGAAGGAAAAGGAAAGAGACTTTCGATTTGAGCGGAACTTCCCCTCTGAAACGTTTGTGAAAACCTTCACTTGCAGAACATTTCTAAACTTTATTTTTATATTAAACAGAAACATCGATCGTTTATATTAATTTTCTAATGAATTGACATTATGACGTAGTGAAAGTCTTTCACAAAATTCGCTTAAGGTATATTCTTCATTTTTATTTGCTTTTCCATCAGGGCTTAACGTTGCCAATTTTCCTTTCAGCTACTGCCATTCTTGGCCATTTTCTTTTGTGGCGGAAATTTAATCGCTTCTTTCTTTGTGCCGCTGACGCTGCAGTTTTGTTTATTCTTCACTTAGTTTCAGCCGCTTGGCAAAGTCTGGCAAGTACTCAACTTTTGGATTTTTTCGACGATGCCATGATTGCCTTGCCAGTTAGGATACCCAGGTGATGTGCCTGGTGATGACGTGGCTTCATAAGTCCTGCTCCACGGGCATTCCACTCAATTAAAATGGCTTGACTTTCTGGTTTTATTTTTTATTTTGGTTATTCTTTTTGTCCCTGGGGCGACAGACAATACGCAAAGCCACTTAATAAATAGCTCTGGCTCTAACTTAATTTTATTTAATTTGCAGCTGTCGTCAGCAGCCGTAAAAAAGGCTTTAGTTTTGCATTGTGGGCGCGCTCAGCAGTCCGTGTGGCTGGGCACGTGCCCGCTATTCCGCCGGAAAACTGGAAATGGAAACTTTGTAGGTGTGTGTGTGTGTGTGTGTACCTTCGCCGTTTTTCGTTTAGTGCGAGTGGAAAATTCTAGCGCGTGTCGGCTTGGAGTGGAAAGTTTTTAGGGTTCCTAACGTGCCATTGCTATAGAAGTTTCTTCGCCGGAAATTGATTAAGTTGGTTTCGCCTTTAATCAGCGGAATTGAAGATGCTGCCGAAATACAAATCAGTTGACAGTCGGCGGCAGCTGTACTTCGCAATTTACTATCCCATTCAAATGGTACTTGAAAGGACTTTCCGCTTGGACTCTGGTTATTTCATCTCGTTGCTGGCCTAAATCCCGGAAAATGCGGCAACAAATTCGAAAAGTTGTAAAATGCTTAATGGCATCATTTAAGTCTGGAATTCATCAACTATGAGGAATATCTTCCTTGGAACAAACTGCCTGTTGTTGCACTTAAAAATGTGGTAAGATTGTTGGAAAATTAAAGAATTTACTAATAAATTAAAGTGATTTTTATATTCATTTCTTTTAAGAATAATTGGGAATCCTTTTAAATATTTAGTAAAAGTGCTTAACATTGTTCTGCATTCTGCTTTCTTTGTTCAATTGTTAAAAGGCGACTTTTATTCTGAAGACAGTATTAAGAGATTCCCATTGTATCCACTTGGTCTTAAGGATTTACCATATTTCTTTTTTGTATGTAGGCTTAAAGACTTCCTTTACTGAATGCCACCTTCTGTTCCTGTTTTACAAGAATTTTCGTAGGCATAAAATGCTGTGGGTTGGTTTCACCCCCACCCTACATTTCCTTGCCGCTTATAAACTTTCCCTTTTTGGTTTTGCGGCCAACATTTGGCCTACTGCCCGTTCGCTTGAAAAGTTTTCCTTTTCGTGGTTATTCATTCACTTTCAAGTTGATTTGGGTTTCGCATTTCGGTGAGCATTTCTTGACCAAAATCTGCAAGATTTGTCTTCAGCATTGTCCTTCCGCCTGCCCGCATCCGTCTGAAAACGTTAGCCTTCTTGAGCGGGGGCTTAAGGATTTGGCTAAGGGATTCCTCTTGACTGGATTCAGTTGGCCCCTCTGGCGCTGTTCATGACTTTGTGTTGGACCTCCATATACTACATACTGCTGAGCTAATCATGACGCCGATGATTTAACTCCCTCTTCGAATTCAAGTTCGTTCCCTCCTTTCTACATTGACTTTTCCATATCCATTTCCAACCAGAAGGCGGGTTATCCCCCCTCCGTTTTGGCTTGAAGTGTTGGCAAGGTTTTTGCCATTTGATTTGACGCCTGAGTTTGCTTTCGGATGGGCAAAAGTGGGCTTGGGTTTAAGAGGCGGAGCATCGGACCCGCCAGGTGTGTTTGCCTGCACTTTAGAGCTCTTCGGCTCTCCTTGGGGCTCTATTATTGTGAATATCGAGCACCTGGGCACCGTCGACGGTGAACGAGCAGAGAACACAGTGAAAAGCGCGTAAAGAAATGGCAACGAGTGGGAGTGACTTCCTGGCAGGTGATTTAAGGCCTCGACAGGCTCACATTTCCCGGCCTTTGTGTAATTGATGCACAGCATCGGGAGTACGAGAAGGATCTCGACCCGGCTAAAGGATAACAAATCGCTTTCATCCTGACTCCGTTTCCGGCCGAACACAATGTGTACAATTCGCCATCTACAAATACACAATTCATAATTCCTTTTTCAGCCAGCCCAGCGTGAAAGGGATTTCCGCCGCCTCTTCAGCAGTAAAGCAAGAATAAGGACCTCTCTCCGCCCAAAAAGCAATTAGATAAACTTGCCAGCTGGATTCGGCAATTGAAAGTGGGCGAAAGTGGAAAATTGCGGGGGCCAGCTGAGAGTGGCAGGACAATTATGAGAGCGAAGGGTTTGGATAATTCAACAATTTGGTCGGGTTAGGGGGAATCAGCGTGGAATTATTCTCCTAAGTGCCATGAATTATGACTCAATACTTAAACGAATAAATTATTGTTAGGGGTCTGCTTTGTTGTCTCAGCAAAAAGTGTGGGTTGTTCAAGGTTGTTTCTTCTTTTTAATGCCTTAATTAGGAAGGGAATTTATTTTATTTCTTTGTGTATTAAGGTTTATCTTTAAAGTGTACTTAATCATTTCCCGGAAACGTAATCATTTTCCCATATCCTTTTCTAATCACAAACGAAATTGCTTTTCCGAATTGAGAACTTCACCTATCCTACAAATATCTTTTTTCTTTTGCTAGCTAAATAGCAACAATGTCTGGATTTAATTGCTGCCGACATCTAAGCCATTGTTTTTCTGTATGTCTGGTATACAGCATTGGATAAGTTAGTCTAAGAGCTTTATCTTTACCATGTAAAGCAAATTGCTTTTCCCTTTGCCAAATTGTTTTACATTTCCACCCGAAAACTTTTGGCATTTCACAGTTTACCTCTTCGTCCTTTTTGCTACCCCAATTTCAACAGCGCAGCAATTATAAGTTGACTAGGGAATATATTCAAGGCATTTGAAGAAAAAAACATACAGTTTACAGAGAAGGAGGGTCCTTTACCAAAACGGAGTTCTTAGAAGTCCTCGTTAGGAAAAGCTGCTTACGTTACACTGCACAGTGCACTAATTTTCCCCTGCATTTTGCCCGTATGCAGGGAAGATTCTCGCAGTTAATAAGCAGTTTCGTTTGCTGGAATTTATGCACCATATTTTATTCAGATGGCGCTTTATAAATGCAGCTGGTGAAAGGAGAGCAAAGGCCATGGATAATGAACGGCAGGCAACCAGCTCCGGGGTGCAGAATTTCCAGCGAACTGATAATGTTGTTAAAGTGCACATGAGAAGGGGCGGGTGGAAAATGGGGGGGGTGCTGCGAAATCAATTTCGGAAAAACAAATTGCGCAGCTTGTACCCAGTGAAAGCTCAGTGAAAATAATAGTGCTGCATTCTCTGCTTTTATGATATACACTTTTCCTGCTGCTTATCTACCCTTTTAACGGGGGAAAACTACCTTTAATAGGAAACTGATAGCAGCCTTTTCCCATTTACGATAAATAATGTTTTCCTAATTAAGTCAGTTATTATCACATTGCCGAACGGACACCTGATATGAAAACTCACTTCCCCTTGGCTGAACAATATTCGTAATAATTTGTGAAAAGCCAATGATTTAACAGTAATTTTCATGGAAATAGTCACCAGCCATACACAACGAGATTCATTTGCATTCTATAATTGAAATGATGTAACCAATATGCCTGTGTCTTCTCTCGAATTAAATCACTTTGATTGAAGTTCGATTCGAGTTTCTGCATGAGTGGATTGCGAGTTGCATTGCCTACTTTTCTGGGCACTCTTGTCTGACCAGGTCGATCGTGTTTATTTATTTTCCTTGTCCGATATCTGTCGGATTTACTTAAACGCTTTTAATTGAAAGCCCACGACCTGTGCTATTACAACTGCTGGCCTCCAATGAGAGTAATGTTTGCTCGGACAAGGAACATCAAATATCAATTTCATTTCGGTTGGATTTTGTAAATATCGAAAAGGGTCGTTGCATTTTTAGTCTCTTAAAATGCAATGCCAGTTTTAAGAAAGGGGATTGTCTTTTATTAACTTGTTAATGGTTTAATTATTTTAGTTACTGAGTGGGTTTCGTCATTGCTTAAAGTAACTATTGAAGCTGAAAATTGAATTTAAACTTATCCTAATTAATTTTTGTAATAAATAAATATTTATGAAATGAAAATGAAAAAATGCTAACTAAATTCATTAAAAACGAAATAGTTATTTTTTGTGGAATTCTTAGAAATTAATAAATAATATTTTATATGTTAAGATCTGTAATTATTAGCTTAGTATTAAGTAGTAGTTAATTTTTCCGAAAAATCTATTTTATTAGTATGACTATAAAATAATAGAAATTTATTTATTTCATACATAAGTTTATTTTAAGTTGAATGGACTTTCTGTTTTATAAAGACCAAGAGAAGTTCAGAACTCAGAAAACTCATTTTCAGACCTGCATTTAGCATAGAAATTGAAAGTTCTGCTTCTAAATTGAATACATATTCCCTTTTAAAATATACATAAATGCAAACATTTGTTTATTTTAATTAATAAATTTTAACCTTAAAGAAAGTACCTAAAGTACCAGTATGAACATCAAGTAACTTTCTATCAGACCTGCATTTAGCTAAGCAAGTGAAAGTTTTGCTTCTAAATGGGATCCCCATTTCCCATGCCTATTTCCATGCCCGTTCCCCAAGACTCACCGCTTGAAGTGCCGACGGCTGGCATCGACGCTGGGTGCCATATGTTAGGCTTACACGCTTATCGCACCAAGAACAGGACCAAGAGCAGCCGCAGGACTCTTCGCCGCCGCCGTCGCACTTTTAGGGCACTCGGTCCTCGGGCACTGAAGTAGCTGGCGCAGAACACTGGCTGGGAATCCACCGCCTACTTGTTGTAGGCGGGCACTTTTCTTATTTAACCGCTCAACACTTGGAGCAGCGTTCGCTGCGCTCCACTCCCCAGGTTGAACTGAATGCCAACGATGCCTTCAGCTGCCCATAGAGCGTTGAGCATCAGGTAGCGCACGGCAACAGTGAAGCCGAGTGCTGCCGAAGTCTTGCCGCACGAAGCTCTTTTCCAGCTGCTTTTCCAGCTGCCTGGGGAAATGGTTGAAAGCTTGAAGCTTTTGCTGTTGCTTCGCCAGCTGCTGCCACGATTTTCCGTTATTTTTCCCATGGCTGCTCCTGTTGCGCTGCCAGCACGACGCCCACGCAAAAAAGCTTTTCCGCGCAAGCCACCGAGAGCTTTCTCTAAAGGCGGCGCCTACGTTTTGGAGGATTCAGAGGAATCATCTAGAGTAGGGACGCTCGGGATAGAACTGGCTCACTTGCTGGCTCACCCTCGTCCTGTTAAACAGGCTCTCTCTTTTTGGCCCCTAAGGCGTTCGGTTGCCAAAAATAGCAACAGCGCGAAAGTTCCAATTGCCTCTCCCACCTAACCACTCACTACAGTAAAGCCTCATCTAAATGAAAGTATAGAAAATTCTAGAAAATATAGAATCTTAATACTAGTTAGCATTGATTTCAGGATAAACAAATTGAATTATTAAGAAAATTTTTGAAAAAAAATGTCTGGGAAATCCTAATTTAAGCTTTAACTTTCACTTCTGCCATTTCCACTGTATCCGTTAAATTTCCTTTCATTTTCGTTTGGCCATGCTTTCCATTTTCGGTTGTGTGGGCCACTAACTGTCTGTTTAAAAAAAGTGCCAAGTCAGTTTCTGGAGCTCAGCTCACGACCAACCGCAACCCCCAACGAAAATTGTGTCGAAAATTTTATAACTTGATATATCTGCTGCCTGGGCTATTTTTAGCAGTGGATGTAGGTGTAGCCAGAGTTGCCATTGCCACCATTGATTTTTCTCACTGTTTTCGTGTTTCCCTCTTGCCCCGCTGCTGTTTTTCCTGGCTTATTCGGTTCTTGCCTGACGCAGCGCCTTTTTATGAATGAACTTGGCTCACATAAGCATTTGTTATAACTCCCAACCCCGAAAAAAAGAGGGGCGTTGCACCCTTTGCTGGAATTGCTGGGGTTAAGAGATGGGGGGAAAGGGAAAGTGGGGAGCCAGGACAACCCTAATAAACGCGCTTTCAATGTCACCAAAATGCTTGCAATCTCATTAAGTAAATGGATTGCCCTTGTCGTAGACGACATAGTCGAGGTTTTGTAATACAGACATTTGTCCATATGACGCCATTGTATCCCATATTCTGTACATATCCCCAGCCTGATGTCATGGATGTATGGGTTTTTGTGTTCGTTCTTGTATTAGTACAAGGATATTGTTAAACTGGGACTCTGTGTGCCGCGTTGGCGTATGGAATTATGATTAATATTTGTTCAGTTTAAAATTAATTGCGTTCAGCTATTGCCTCGACAGCCGTTACCATCGCCCACAGCCATACCCACAAATTCTGCCACTATTTCAGCCATTTATAATCCCATAGATGGCGTAGAATGCCTGAGGTCAGGTTATCGTAAGGGGGTTAACAAGAACCAGCTTGGGTTTTGCACGGAGTTGCCGTGACTGATTGCCTGGGACAAGGTCGGGCCAGCTAATTAAACGACGTTACGTTAACGTACTTATATAAAAAGGCAGAGCTAATCTGCGTTTCCTTTGATGATTTGCTCCCCCAGGCCCCAGGTAGGGCTCATTTGCAATTAAAATTGATATAAATAGATTCCCAATGCTGTTTGCTGTATTACTTTCAGTACGTTTACATATTAAACAAAAAGTTAATGAGGGTAATTTTCAATAGAAAGGATAATGGTGTTCTTCTTAAGTCCAGGTGATGTATTAAAAGGTCATTAAAGTTGGGCACTATATAACGATTAATTTGTGAGTTGTCTGATGTTAACTTTAAAAAGAGAATATCTTAAATCTAGTTACAAAAATTAGCAACTTATTTACTTCCAATACCAATACAGGTTATAAGATATATTATGTTTGACCCCTAAGTAAACTTTAAAGTTCACAAAATCAGATAATTGGCAAACATTTGTCGGGTTCAAAATCAATTTTAATTTTAAATATACCCCCTAAGAGCAGCTGGACAAATTGAAAAAGGAAAAATTTAATATTCTGGGCCAGGTTAAAGTCAATTTAATTCACTTTCAGCCTCCATCAGTCTTTGTTATGCCAACAGAACGGAAACTTGTTTGATTATTTATATAGCCAGGCCCAGCCTGAAAATATTTGTGCAATTGCTAGACTTTGTTTTTAGGAGGCCATCAAAATATAATATTATATTCATGCATCCTTAACTGTTACGACTTCTTGGCTGAATCCGTATCAGTATCTTGATTTTCTGTTGGTTTAGCATTAAAACTAAAGTGGCTTGGCAAGTTAGGATGGCAAACGTATTTGTATCAGTGGCGGATGAGCGCGTTTTTATGCCCATTTTATATATGCCAACTTGTTTATGTTTACGCGAAAATATTTACGTTTCATTTTTAGTATGGTTCCATAAGCTTCCACGCCCCTCCCTTACCCAAGGGATCTGCCGCCTACCGCTTCCGGTTGTTGACGCAACTCTTAATCAAACAGCGGGCTTTTCTGTGACATTTATAGCCAAAGTCCGTTGGCCGTTGTCCAAGCCGGGGCTATATTTAACGCACTTGTGGCTGCCCATGGACCACGACCTCATCATTTTTTTCTTTCATTTTTCTCTCAGATTTCCAGCCTGCATATGCCATCGGCCATGTCAACGGCATTCAATCAATCGCAATGAAGTCGACACAAAGCCCACGCTCAGCAGGTCCCCGTTGTTGATGAATGAGTCAGTGGATCCAGCGAGTCCTATTCCCAGAATGACGACCATGGCAACGCCAGCTCAGATATCCGTGTGCTCGAAATACAATCGAGTCACATGTCCTGCCGCCTGAGGACGACGATGACGACAACAACAAGTGGTGGCAGTGGTGAAGGACCCGGCCGTGCATTGAATCCCCGAACAAAACAAAGTCATAAAGGGATTGCACGGTAATCATAAAGTTCGATAAAGAGAAGGGTGTATGCATCGAGAGTATTAATCCCTACATGGGTCACTTTATCACACTGGCAATATAATGGTATCTTGGTGCTAATCTGGGTGGGAAAGTGCCATTCAAATTTCTGTATTTCGATATAGATGAAAACTTTTTATGGATTTTAAACACCTATGGATATCTAATTAGCATTCCTATGCTATCATTTTGAATTGTTACGAAGCTTAATCAGGTTTGGCAATAAATATATTGCTATGTATCACATAAATGGGTCATCACAGCTGTCTATCCATGATATTTATGAATGTCCTTCATTTTTTATCATTTATATTTATTTATTTCCTTAATAAAGTAATTGCAAGTAATCGAATGATTTGAACAATGTTGGATCGATAATGATGCCATATAATGAGTTCACCAATTTCCCATTAGTCAGCTAAAAATATAATTTTGGTCGTATTAATTGATACAACAATTCCGCAGTCAAATATCACGTATACGTTGTAAACAAGGGACTGATTTTATATATGTGCGGATATGGTAAATAGGAACCTGTACAAATCTCTTACTTACTATTGAATGAGATAAAAGATTCATCATTGAAATAGATTCTTTACGATATTAATGTATTCCTCTGCTTGCCTGTTCCCATTAGTATACCATCAAACCCGAAGCAACTAGAAATGTTGTAATATTAATCAAGCATTCACTTAGTACCGCATTTATCAATCGATTGGCACTCTGACGTTTTATCAATACTCTAAACCATCGCTTATAATGAAATATTTAGAAGAAGAACCCCCTGTTGAGGAATTTTGCAATCAAGAAGCACGCGCCATTAATTGCTTTCCATTGCATTCCCATTGCCTACATCCCGGGGCAGGGCTAGCAGGTGACGGGGGTATAAGGTGCACGCACCTGTTGCGAAAAGGTCGAATCACTTAGCCAACTATAAGCGGATGGTAACCCTACACCACACATACTATACGCTAAACTAACTATAGGTGCAAATGGCTGTGACTTACCTCAGTTTGACATTTATGGCGTGGCTCATGTATTTGTTTACTTCATATTCAGCGCAAACGAACGAAGACATGCAAATTGATGTGCGATGATTATAGGTTTGTATATTAGTTATATTTTGTTGTTGCTTTGCCGTTGTTGCTCCCCTCTCCAGTTGCTTGTTCCGTGTTCCTTGTTGCCGCTGCTTTTGCCGTTGCCGTTGCTGTTGCTCCTAGATCGTATAAATTTTGATTAATTCGCTTGTGTGTACATAACATACACATATATACATATATGTATATAGTCAAATTCGGTAAGCAGCACTTCTTTTTGACGCAAACAACGTCAGCGACTGACGACAGCAGCCTGAAGCCGAAAGCCAGAAACCAAGCATTTCGAAGACGTTAAAGAGAGTTTTGGCCCAGAAAGAGAGAGCGAGCTTCCAAGAGCACCGGCTATATTATGACTGTGTGGGTGTCTGATTGGTGTTTGTGTGCCTATGTGTGTGAGACTGTGCTTGCAGGTGTTCGCAGGCGCACGGATGACGTACGATTATTTGTGGGCTCTGGCGTCTAATTGCCGCCTCGCTGTTGATATTGGCCCACATGTTTCAATTTCTTGGCCACACAATATACATGGAAAAAACATTATTTAGCCCACGCTTTCGGGGGGCGTAAGCGAGGGAGTTTTGTTAAAGAGAAACTGGACATTTAACTACGCAATAAGCGTAGGGAGACTCGCTCTCAGAAATAGGCCTTAAGTCCTTTTGTTTTTAGGCTTTTGTTGGTTTGAAGTCTCCTTGTTTTTGGTCTTGGGTTAATTGTTGGGCGCGTGCAAAAAACACGCAGAACAAAAATAGCCAAGAAAGGCCAAGGGAAATGGTGGAAAACCGAGGGAAAATGCCTGGTCGCAAAAACATTAGAAGCATATGGCTGGCTGACATTTTGTGTAGCATACTTCTGTGCTGTCACTTAAAATGTTCTTTCACACATACTGCGGCACTTTCACATACACACACACACACACGTACACTCGCACACACACACAAATATGGTAACATTTAATGAAGTTCAGTGTCAAATTTTTCGTTTCGCTTTCAGCCACAAAAATAAAACACACAGAATTATTCTCGAGCTTTTCGGCCGCCATATTTAACAGGCTAACGTTGTTTTGTAATCGTGGAAAAAATTGTTATTTAATATAATAACAAACGCCTCCTTACTGTGGTTTTCTTGTTTTTTATTTTTGATTTTTCGTGCTGCCCAAGTTTCCTTGCTGCTACTGCTCTTTTCTGGCTTTTCGCTCGCGTTGACCGTCAGCCGAAGGACTGACTGTCCTACTGAAGCGCCATTCCTCGGCAGCCCTGTCTCGTAGTCGCTCTCGTCGACTCGGTGCTCGGAGTTTCGCCCGTACAATGTGCCCGCACCCACACACCCAGACAATCACACACACACTCACTCACGCACTCACAAGTAGTCGAAAATTCCTACGCATTTCGCTTATAGCCCATGTGTCTGTGTGTGTGTGTGCTGTAGGTTAGGCACACGCACAATTAAGATAAAGCTTCACAAGCTTTTGGCCAATGCTTTGGTGGCCCACAGATGCGGCCAAAATTAAAGCACTCGAGCAACTAACTAACACGTTTCATGGATTTAATATTCTTTGGAAAATATAGTTATTTTTGGTGATCTAGGGTATTAAAGTATTTTAAAAAATATTTGTATCTTTAGAATTTAAAATACATGCTTACAAATTGCTTTAATACTTTCATTTTTTACTTAAGCATGCTTTTTATGTTTATATTTTAAGTAAGTAAAAAATAAATAATTAAGTGTAATTCCTTTATAAATCAGGGAATACTCTTAAGTTGACTGCAACTGTATTGATGGCACATATTTTGAAAGTGACAATGCCAAGATTATGTGTCAATTTTCAGAGATGGTAGCCATTGATACAGTGGTGTCTAGAAAAATGAACAACACTTTTTCCAAACTTAATAAATAAGAAACAAAAACTTATAATAAGTACCCGTACTCTTACAGGGTATCACAGCAGCTTTGCACAACAATTAAGCCCCATGAAACCGAAGGGTTATGTCCTGCGAAAGCTGCCCTAGAGCAACAACAATGGCCGGGCTGAAAAACACCGCCCACCATCCCAGTAAAGCATTTGACGTAGGTTGACAGCTGTTTGCTCTGGGCAAACTTTATGACTATTGATTTTGTCCCGAATTCTGAATTCCGAACCTGGACGCAACAGTTTGAAAGTCGCAGCTTTCACTTTCGTGGCGCCCGAGAACCGACTGATTATGCCACCCAACTACTGCGCCTGTCCGTTGCCTCTGTGTTAGTGTGTCAGAGCAGCGCTTGCGCTGGTTTTTCGTGCGGAAAAGCTCCATTACAACAGCCTGTTGCCGACGTAGGCGGCACCCGGAGAACAGCCAGCCATCCCCCAGCACTCCACCCATGGCTAACCCCTTCCAGGTGGCGCCGTTGCACTGGAAGAGGTCTCAGTGCCAGACTCACTCCATTTAAAGGCATCCAAAAGTGCCACCTAAAAACCTAGACAATGACCGTGTACATGCCAAGGCGTAGCAGTTGGCTGAGCGAATTAATTTGATCACTCGTCTAAAAAGCGAGCTGCATGCTAATGCCACTTTAATGAGTTCTGTTTCCGCCTGAATGAAGGGATTATGACTGCTGCTGGCAAAAAGGGCTCAGCACACAATCGTTAAACGATGAGCTTTGCACTTTGGATTGGCCCCAGTGGCAAGGGGTAAGTGCTGTTTGGCAACAGGTTGCCAATGGCATCCGGCGTCCATTACTTTTCAAGCGACGAGAGGCCATTTTAACGGGCAAGCAGGAATGTAGGCAAAGATAGAGGGCTGACATAAAGTGCTGCATACCTTCCGGCTGTGGCAGTTTAAAATGGAAATCCAACTAAATGGCTTAAAATCGTTTAACATTGTGGAATCAATGAGAATAATTGTATAAATAATGAAATATACAATTTGTTAAATCTAAAATAACAGTATTTATCCCCCAATAGAAAAAAGAGTCATTATTTACTATTACATTTCATGTAAATCTTTATTTATTTCATTCATTGAATTCGTGTAAATTTTGTTGGTATTCATAGTTAATATTTTGTCATAGTTGCAGGCCTTTTCTTTTCAATTTGTTAGCAAGTATCTAACTATAATAAGTGACGGCAAAGTTGCATTCAAAATTTCCATAAGTATTCATTTCAGTTTTTAGTTTTCAATTAGTTCTGGGTAGTTTAGAATATGTACTCGTGTCACTGTTTTTCTCAACAGTTTTCAAGTCAATTTCATAAGATAAACAATTTCGATTTTTTGCCATAGATATAGTTTTTGTTTTATGATTTCAAACGAGAGAACTCAAAAGACCGATAGATGGACAAACAAAAGTGAATGGAGATTTCATAAGTTTTTGATTCTTTATTTTTTATATTAACTATAAATTTTGTTTCCTTAGTTTTATGCTCGCTGTAAATACAATTTCTAGTTCGATGTCGAGCTTTAGCATGAGTTAGCCTTTTGCTTGTATATATGGTGTATGGTATGGGTGTTTTGTTTTTATGTTTTTTTTTTTTGAAGGGGCGTAATGCAATGCGGGATGTGTGCTATGGACAAGGCCAAATCAGATGGTTATCATAATAGCCTACTTAAAATTTGGTTAAACGCTAATTTACACAAGATACAACTAAGTAATTAGAATTAGACTTAAAAAAACAGACATTAGCACTGTACTTATGACTAAGGTGATGTGTTTTCTTTTGTGATTTATTTCTGTAGTTTTTTTTTTTTTTATAGTTGTGACGGATTTGAGTGTGGTAACTGAGTGAAGACTGTGGGCATCACCGTCGTCGTCCCTCATCATCGGTAAGGCAAGTTTAACAGACGGCAAATGGTAACAACAAATGTTCGGCTTGTGACGGTTGCTGCTCAATGCTTTCTCTCTCTATCTCTCTATGTACAACGATTTCAATATGAGTAATGCTTAGATTTTGGTTTTCATTTCAAGTCTAAGTCAAAGGCACTGATTATCTACTCGGCTCTCAATTTAATATCTGTGGCTGGCTATAAGTCTGTTATTTTGAGTGTTCTTAGATTTTTGGGTGGGGGGAGGCGAGGTGCAACGAGTTCGCGGCACTTGCAACAACTGTCACCGATCTTTAGCTGTATCCTAAGTGTGTGTGCACATAAAAAATAATAATACATCATAATTACTAAAATGTAATTGAAATACAAGTGGTTTTACATTTAATTTCGCTGCGCTACATTAACATTTATTTAGTCTGTTTATTTTACTAGTACATGTAGTACATCAAATGTGCATTAGTGTTTGTGATTCGTTTTTCTTTTCGTTTTTTGCTCTATTTCATTATTGTTTCTTTAATATTCTTTCGAATGCTGCCTCATTTACTAGTTTGATCTATGATTCGATCTTCATTTTAGTTTTTGTTAATTTAATGGTTCGCTTATGTTGTAACTATGAGTATGAGATGAGTTTGAAAGCAGATTTTGCAAATGAGTTTTCTATATATTTATTCGCTTGCGCTAGTGTGTGTGTATGTGTGTATGTGTGTATGTGTGTACAATGGTGGTGTTTATGTGTATGTGTATGGATGTGCTTGGTTTGGTTCAATAATTTAATATAATTTAAATATTTGTTGTATTTAGTTTTTGCGCTGCTTCATATCGTCGTCGTCCGGCGCCAGTTTTAAACAATAATTTACGTTAGGTTTTTGTTTTACTTATTGATTACTAGATAAAGCATTCGATATAACATAAACTTGCATAGATAGATAGTTGGATAGTTGGTTTGTAGGAGGATAGCCGACCTAAGCCTAGTAGCAGAGCAGTTACAATATTTTCTCGTTCTTAATCCGAACTCGCCGCGCCAGTTGTAATTTAATTTATACATCGAAAAGTGGGGGGGCGGGCGTTCGCTCTCTTAGATTAACATTCATTTAGCATAGCTTATAGCAAATCATAATACGTTATATGCATTTATGTGTATAGTAATGTGTTCAAATTTAACACAAGTGTTACGTGTACTCAGCTCGTACACATGAACAAAAAACAATTTTGACAAAAAATAAATGGAAATAATAACATAAAGGTGATATAATATGTTGTTTTTTTGGGGGGAGAGGAGGGAGGTAAAGGGAGATTTGAGTTTTACAAAAACTAAGATTCTACTCGTACAATATATCATAATCGGTATACAGTATATATATATATAAACGATATCGTTAGTGTAGCGTATATGTATAGTAATAATTATCATTATAACATAGAGTTCAGTTTGAGAGTTTTACTAATCTCTCGCTTCGCTGCCAAGTGTTTTCTTGATTTCTTTCAGTAACTACTTTCATTTTCTCGCTTTTTAACGCTTGTCTTCACTTCGATTTTCCCTCTGGGCATCTCTGTTTCCCAGTTTGGATTCTTCGATCTTTCGTTGTGTTTGTCTACGAATTGTTGTCGTGCCTAAGGCGTCTTCAGCAGCAGGATGTCTTTCTTGCGCGTGCGACTGGCGCTGGCATTGAGTCGCTGGTAGAAGTAATTCCTTCCGATCTTGCGCTGCAACTTGTAGGACTTGCCCGCCAGGAACCTGGTGATGTCCAGCACATAGTCGTGCACGTCCTCGTTATCCTCGAGCAAATGTATCGATATCACATCGATTTTGACTTTGTCGAAGGGCAGTGTCTGCAAGATCTATAAAACCAAAAGAAAAACCATTTAGCGAAAGTGTTAAGAGAGTTAAGTCAATGGGTCACTTACCTCAAGCTCATGCCCCTGGACGCCCAGACTGAGCAGATCGTATTCGGTGCGCTCACATGCCAGCATGATTGTGTAGAGCGGAAAGCATTTGACACGCGAGTTGAACCACGAGGTCTCCTCGTCGTGCAGACTATTGATGCGCACATCCTCGTTGTGTATGGTAATCTGTAAGGAAAGCGTGGAAAATTAGTTAATGATCTTTGAGATAAACAAGAGGAAACGCTATAGTCGAGTGCCGCGACTATAAGATACCCGTTACTGTTTTACACAATTTTAAAATATAAATTTTGCTAGTGGAAATTCACAAGGCGCCACCTATTGTCAGAGGAAGTATGTTGAGTATGCTTATAGTGACGTCACTGCCCATGTGGAGCCTTATAACCTTAATTTCTTCATAAATAGCGAAATAATGTTCCGATTTGAAAAATCTTTTGTAAGTCGATAGATATTAACAAAAATAAGTTACACAAGGTCAAACGAAGGCATTCATAATAATATTATAGACTCCACAGTTTTCCGCGGTTTGTGGCGTTAGAGTGGGCGTGGCCGGATGCAACTTCGTGGCAAGTTGCAGAGGCATCTCCAAATACGTGTTCTTAAGCAAAATTGTGTAGCTTTTATAGTTTTCGAGATTTTTGCATTTTTGGTTTTCGGGTTTTGTGGGCGTTCAGTGGGCGTGGCGTGATTGGAAAAACAATTCGCATTGGGAGCATTATAGAAACATACATGCTTAATCCGAACTTTCATCTCTTATAGTTACCGAGATATCAGCTTTTCTAGAAAACCGAAAACCGTCTTTTGAGCCTTGTGGGCGTATGGGTGGTGTGGCCGGATAGTAGTACCACTATAAGATGCGCTGCCATCTAAAGATTATACTTTTGAATTTCAACTTTCTAACTGCAATAGTTCCTGAGATTTCAGCAATTTTAGTTTTTGCGATTTGTGGGCGTTAGAGTGGGCGTGGCAGGATGCTGTAATAAACTTGCGCTGTCCCGGGACCTCAAGAATCTTCATGCTAATCTCAGCTTTGTATCTGCTATAGTTCCTGAGATCTCAGCGTTCATACGGACGGACGGACGGACGGACGGACGGACGGACGGACGGACGGACGGACGGACAGACGGACATGGCTCAATCGACTTCGCTATTGATCCTGATCAAGAATATATATACTTTATAGGGTCGCAAAAGCTTCCTTCTATCTGTTACATACTTTTCAACGAATCTAGTATACCCTTTTACTCTACGAGTAACGGGTATAAAAAGCTGAAGGTAAGTTACTAAGTGTATTTAGCTTTATGGATCTTACGATGATATTTCACTATTTTATTCATTACTTATATCAATCGACAACTCACCTCTTTGGGATACGTATTGGGCGAAACACAGGCGTGCACCACCTGCATGCGTGCCCGCTGGGCATTCTGCTTGCGCAACGTGAAGTACCAGCGTGGCTCCGGCTCCACCAGCACGCCCATCCAGTTGAGCTGTTCGCTCAGCCAGGGCGCCGTGATTAGATGGGCGAGCGGACCGCTCAGCGACTGGATCACTGCTCCATTCATCTTCCCGCCCACCAGATCGGCCACATAGTGGGCCAGTTGATCGGCTCCACTGCCGCTACTATTGCCGCTTCCGAAAGTGGAACCGGCGGTGGCAAGTCGAGGGGAGTTGGGCGGTAGACCACCGCCCACAGTGGCCGCCGTTACGACCTTCGGCGACGCCTTGCCCAGGTATTTGCCCATATGGATCTGGCGCAGGAATGCAATGAGTGAGGGATCGTCTTGCGCAACCCCATTCAGCTCGTAGTCGCGCGACATATTCAGCCGAAACTGTTGATGGCGAATCTCTGGAAGAGAAGAAATCAAAAGATCAGTTGCAAGTTGGTTTTTGTGTGGTGGCGGTAATTGGATTTAATTAAAAGTTGTTGCACCACTGGACGCATGGCGTGTGTGGCTCTAACTCTGCCACGCTTCGCTGCCAATTGGAGCGCATTGACCACATTTGCATTGGCAATTGAGTGCGCTCGAAGAGAAGAAGCATAACTAAGAAGTAGTTAAAGGTAAGTAAGGCAAAAGGAAATTCTTAAATTTATTCCCAATTCAAAGAATATTTCCAAACAAACAACCTTTTAGGTTGAAACAATGCCATTTAGACAAATTTTCGGCAAAATGCCATGTCAGGTTGGCATAAATTGTTCGGGTAAAAGTGAAAAATTGAGGAACAGGAGACCCCACCGAAGGTCGAGAGAAGGAAACAGCCACTTGGCAGCGGCGATGACCTCGCCTTGAAAAGCGGCTCGACGTGGAATCGGCATTTGGCCGCTGTGCCGGCCCATAAAGTATAATGAGCGCACGGCCTTTGATATTTAGCACATGACCCCATCGTATACCCCCCCTAACCCCTTCCAACCAACCGATTTTCCTCCGGGCACCATCGACCATTTGACTCATGTCAGAGCTGGCCCAACCTGTCCATAAACCTTAGCAACAAAAAGCCAACGATTTGCCGTAGTTTTGTTTTAGTTGCCTCACTCCGCACCGTCGTCCATACACTCAGACACACTTGGGTTTTATTTGCTTTTCACACTTTCCTTGTGCCAATTTCCACTTTTTGTTTCGTTTCTGTGCCTGGCCTCCGGCGAAACAAATCGTAAAAGCCAAAAGAAATTAAAATATATATCAAATGTGCTTGCAACAATTTGTGGTAACTTAAGAGAGCTTTAAGCCATACCACTTGTTCGGTAAAGGTTCCCAAAAGGCCAAGGCTTGATGACCAAATTTAAGGATTTTTAAGGAATGAAAAGGTTAGTTGGGCCAAAGGTAGCATTACGAAATTAGGAAAAACTAGATTGTTAGTTAATAAAACACAAAAAAAACGTTAATTAAATGAAAGTTTTTGGTTGGTTAAGTTTAAAAAGTAAGCTTCTATTGATAAACCATTGAAATTCCAAATAAGTGGCATGATTTTTCTTTCCTTTCTCATATAAATTTCATAGAAAATTCACAAACTTAAATTATGAGCCAAGTTGATTTAAATAAATATGACAAAAAGACATGTGACGTGGGCGGAAAGCGTGGCAATCATCTAGTCAAATCGATCTTCCATTTCGGCTACTTATACGTCATCATTTCTCGCTCCGGTTCCTCCAATGAATTCACATCGTTATAGAGCCGCCGCCTCACCCAAATCCAAGTCGTTATACAAATATATATTTTTTTATTTTGTTGGCCATTCAACGCAAATGTGCCATGCAAATTTCAAAGCAATGAAAAAAATAAAAAAAAAAACGGCTAAAACTTTTATGTTTCGGTCACAAAATGGCCATAAAGTTTATTATAATGCATATATAGACAGGCTGGCTGGCAGAAAGTCAGGGCAAAAACAGTTGCTGGCCATTTAGACAAAACCACTATAATTTAGCTGAACGAGTGGAGGAGACATTTTTTCTGTAATTTCCCAAACGAGACGCCGCCGCCCCGTAGGCCAAGTGAAAACTTGCACTAATTAACACCAGAAAGCCGGCGACCAAGCCAAACTGATCTCCTCTTGGTAGGGAAAGTGGTAGTGTTGCTCAGTTTGGGGGAAATTTATGTGGCCATTAGTTGTGGAAATCTGATAGCGGGAATTGATGTAACATAACATCTCGCATTACAACGAACGATTAGAAGTTAAGTGAATTATTTGATCATTCGTCTACCAGCATACCTCCAACCCTGATCCATCCATCCAGGAAATAATGATCCTATGCCCCCGACAGATGTGCAATAAAAGGCCGCCTTAAACCGTTAAATGCGAACACATGTAAATCCGATATATAAAAACCGAAAATATAAATGAAAGAAAAGAATGAAATGAAATGAATTTGGGGAACAAAATCTGCCCTCGGGCGCAGCAATTTCGGTGTCAAAAGCTGACATTTCTAATTTGCACAAGGGGTCGTCGTCGTCGTCGTCCTCGTTCAGGGTGGGCAAGACAAATGACAGGGCAGGACGGTACCGAAAATTATATTCAATGGCGGCGGACAACATTACCCAGCAGAAGGAAGGATGGAAACGACGGTCGAGGAGCAACGTTTAATTGCGGTTAAGCGGCGGCAAACTTTAAGTTTGCCTGGTTTGCCCGCTCAACTCGTTGTCCTGAGGCGGCGGTTTATTTCGATTATTCAGGGGTAACCTAAGGGGTATTCAGGGGTTTCCATGGTCTACTTCAGGGGTAGTGCAAGACCAACTTGCCCTGCCAGTGCACGCCCTATTCAATAATTCAACAAAGGCGGGAGCAGGCAGGCAAATAAAAAACTCAGTAAAAGAAAGGTGGAGAGAGAAAGAAAAAGCACAAGTAAAACTCACAACTTTTATGCATTTTCAATTGCGGCTAAAAGTTTATCAAAAAGAGGTAGTACACTTATAGGAAAGAACTTAGTATTTAGAATAGTAAGTCATAGGAAGTCTTCTTATGATAAGAAATCTAACAAAACATATCTTATCTCTTATTAAAGTATTAAATTTAAGAAAGAAAATGTCAATATTTTCATATATTTTTTCATAATTTATCTAAATTTTATTTTAAACTAACTTTATTTCTAGTGTATGACCATTATATGTAGTATCCAAAAAACTTCATCGTTGTAGTTTGTTTGCCTTTGTTTTTATCTATATATTTTTGAGGGCACTGCGACGTGGCTGTCGTCGTCGGGCAATGTTACCCTTGTTGTGTAATATCCGCGGCCTGAAATCGGGATCTGGAATTGCGTGCCCGCCCTATGTTCCCCCCATTATGCCCTAGTGTCCTACCATTGCCTAGTAGTTCAGTTATTGATTTGTGCAGCGATTCCGTTGGCATCGGTCTGGTCTCTGGTTGTAGCCAGGCTTGTAATTGCTTGTTTGGCGCTATTCAAAATGGCCTGTTTCCATGTTGATAACAACGAATGTTCCTACATGTCTTGCATGTGGTAACAAAATAAGCAACGCAAGTGCTGATTTATATGGCAAATAAGACCAAGGAGTGAGCGGGCCTAATCTATGTGGGTCGGATCTTAATCACCGCCTACTAAAGCTCATTTAACTGTGTGGCGAAATGAAATGAAAAAAAGGCCAATGCAGGGCAAACTACTGCATCACGTGATCAGGTGTGAAATGCATTAAGTAGGAGGGAACGGCAAAGAGAAAAGTGCAACTTAGAAGGTAGAAAATAGCATTAACCTTTTATGGGAAAAAAACTCAAGTTCTTTCATCTTTTAAAAGTACAAATCAAAAAGGTGTTGACCATAAATTTAGGCCTCAATAAGAAACTGACATATGGGGTCTTAGCACACTCTATATATGATATATGACCCCGTTGAAACGTGCCAAGAAACCTTTAACATAATAAATGACCCCGTTCTTAATGTGTTAAACGTTCCCTTCTTAACCATTTATCAACCCTGATTGAAATATCTTACAGCAAAATCCCGATAAAGCAGACCACGACGAGGGCAGTTTTTGTGCTCAGCTCAGCTCAGCTCCCGCTGTTGTTGTTTTTCCTTTCCTTATTATTAACCTTATCGCAGGGCAATTTCCCAAGGAGAACCCACACGACGCCTAAGAAATTGCGCAATTGCAATGGCCGGGAGGGTTGCAAAACCCGAGACCCACATGCGGGTGGTGGCCAGAATGAAAAGCAAGCCAAAGAAGAACTCAGTTTCTTCATAGTCATCGTGAGTAGTCGTCGCTGTGGCGCATGCTGTGATAATGCCATTTGAGCTTTGCTTTTCAAATTGAGCACTCGCTGCGCTTTTGACGGAGCCGGGCTGGGCTGATGGCTGATCATCATCTTCGTCGTAGCCACACGAACTTAGCGAACCACAGCTACGAACCGCAGACCAAGCAGTCCAGACGACGACGACGACGACGACACTGCGGGGGTGGATTTTCTCCGCTGATATTTCACTGGATTTGGGGGGCCATGCAACAATGTTGGCAACTGCATACACGAAAATTATGAATCACAAGGCAAACTAAGTTGGGAGTGGGGAAAGGAGGGCCCTGAATGACATCCGGTGGCTAGCAAGGGCGGTTGCTACTACACGTAGAGAAAAAATAACTGAGAACTAGGATATCTAAAGGGAAGGTTTTATGTTAGATTATTATAGTTTATGAATCAAATATCATTCTGTGTTAGTTTAGTAAAATAAATGAAAACAAATTTGTGTTATACTAAAATGATAGATCAGTTAGTAAAATTAACTTTTGATTTATAATAATTAATGAAGATGGATAATGAATATAATGAACTTGCAAAATGCATATTAAGTTTTACTTCTTTTTAAAGAATTTTTCCTAAAAGTTTGATTAATTCCTGTATTAAACCCTGAGCAGTTATAACTGCTTATAACCAGCCAGACTAAAGAGGGATTTGTGAAGAGCCCTTCTTCGTTGGAAAACTCCCTAGAAACTCACTGCGTGCCTAACGGGAATTAAGTCATTAGTGGTTAGTGTGTGTGTGTGCAATGGAGTTCAAGTTGTAAGTTTCAATTAAAGTTGCAATTTGCAAATTGTCACCAATGGAGGCCAGACGACAGTGACGACGACATCGTGTAATCACCGCAAGTGTGAAGATAATGCCTTCTTAACATGATTAATGCTTTGACCTTTGAGGGCGTGTGCAGGCAAACATGGTGCCAATACACATAGAGAAACTAGTAGTAATATTAAGAACAAAATCTACTTCCTGGTTATTGAACCAAAAACAAAATAAAAGCTGTGTGCTTATTCCACAAATGGGCTAATACGGTCTGCGGTACTTGTTAGGGTCGTCTTTTTTGGTTACCGACTACTGTCAAAGGTGAGGCTAATGACACTGCACCTGGCCACCTGCACACTCCCCCTTTTCGAGAGAGTCACGAGCCATGTCAACAAGAACAACAACAACAATAACAACAAGTGAAATGCGGCAACGTCGCCGAAAGGCGCGGCATGGCGTGTGAAGATGGCAACAGTAGTTACCAGTTACCAATCAGTTAAAAGTGAACGGTGAAACAGTGAAAGCCAGCTAATCGATGACTAACTAATCACATGGCGTCGATAAGTAGGCTATACTTGGATTATGGCACAAATCAATGCAATCCTAAGGGTGGAATCTACAAAAATTGGGTGACGGATATTACATATTATTGGATTTAGACATGTGTCTTGGCAGTACAAATAAATGGGAAACAAGTTGATGGAATGTGCCTGGAGGTTTGTTTATATAACCTAAGACCACGCACTAATTTAACAGAACCAGTTCTTTAAGTAACTTAACTTTTTAGGCCAATATGGCAAAGAAGCTAAGTTCATAAAACGTTTAATATGGTAAATACCAGCGGTAAAATACGAGTTCGACAACCTCTATTAATAAATATGGGAATATTTAATAGATAAAATAAAAATCTTATTTTTTAAAGCCATTCTCTATTAAGTTAATACAACTATCAATTTATTTCTTAGCCAATTATCTTCTTGCTTAATTTAAAGTAACTCTTAACTAATGGTTTCTCTGTATGCAAAATCATTGACCAACTTTCCAAGTGGCTAAGCCTTCTAATTTGCTTACCCTCATAATTATTAGTTATTTTAAAGGTAACTCTATAATTACCTCATGTTTATTATATCTTTTAATTTCCAGAACCTTTCTAGATTTCTAGATTCCAAACTAGATTTTCCCAGTGAAAGGATCACTCGTGAACCACTCACACACATCCCCCGATTACAAAATGCCGCCAAACATCAAATGCAATTTCCGATTCCGAATCTCTCGCTCCCCAGAGAACAAAAAAAAAACCAGAAGTGCTTTGGTCATTGCAACAATCAACTCTGGAACGTGACTGTTACAACAAATCTAGGGATTGTGGATTGTGGGGGACCATCATCATCATCATCATCATCATCATCATCTTCGCTATGATAGAAATACAGAAGATATAAAGAAATGGTAACAAAATGCGGCCGAGGCTGAATTTGTAACAAGAAGAGCGTAGGCAAGCAGAAAAAATTGATGTGAGATATTTGGGTTCTGTAAAGTCATGGTCAGAGGTTTATCAGCTTGGGAATTTCGGGGGAGAAAGGTGGGGTTCGAGCTACACATTCCACAATATATATAGAGAGTAGAGAAAAATTTGTCACTTTAATAAGCGCATTTTCGGTTCGCTTTGGTTCTGTCAAGTGCATGATTCGAAGAAATTCCAACTGCCACAAAGCTTCAACTTTTCAACCTCAACCTTTGTCCCTTGGCACGAAACGTGTTAAATTTATATATCCACTCGGCTTTTGTTATGAAGGGAATTCTGAATAAAAAGAAGGAAAATGACCAGAAGAAGGAATGCCTAATTTATGATTATTTTTGTTTATGAATACGTTCGCTCGTATAAACCTAATAGAGCCATCAATGAGCCATAAAAATGGCTCTGTCCCTGTCCAGCAGCAGCAGAGGCAGCTTCAACCTCCAACGACAAGTGACACGCCCAACTGGATAACTTGGAGATATCATACCTTCCACATCGTCGAACCCATTCGCATCGACTCAATAAGAGAGCCACAGCCCCGTCTAGTCGACGTGGCGACGAAAAACAAAAGAATCGGATATTACAGCCAATAAGATGTTGAATTATAACCCCTTTGAGCACTTAACTGAGTGCATGAAATTACAAAATTTATAGCAAGAAATCAGCAGCAATCATCATTTCGATTTTATACAGTTTTTAATGGCGATAAACCACAAAAAAGAGGATAAAAACAAAAAAGTGAAGAAGTCAAGCCATGACTTTAATAACAATTTTTGACATTTAATAAACAAATTTATAAACACAATCTCAAGAGCAATTTATAGATGGGATTACCTATAGAATCAATAAAAAGTTTTATTGCAAGTAGATTCCTTAAAATTCAACATAAGACTTTAATCACAGTTTAAAAATAACCAAACAAAAGTGACTAATCCTATAAGATTTTCATTACTTTCATTATTGCAAATGGAAATCAAACACTGATCAGTCAGCTGGAGAATTAAGCTCTTAAAATGCAATTCTTTGAATAAATTTGCATAATATTCTTGAAAAATAAAAGGCGGACAGGAAGAAGTTGGCGCTACGGAAGAAGTCTTTGGCCCAAAGGAAGCAACTCAAAGGAGGCAAAAAAAAAAAGCGAAAATTGCCAACACCCGAGTGGAATTTTAAAACGTCTCTTTCTCTCTATAGAAGTGGCTGTTGATTTTTACAGCTGCAAAAACAATGGACTGACATTGATTTTTTTTCGGGGCCTGGTATGGCTGGTCTGGTGTTTACTCTTAGTAGCCCTTAGTCACTCTGTGGGGCATATGAATCACTCAATAATACTCTGGCGCCAGCATTGGCGATCCGTCGACAGCGGGCTCACATCATATGCAAAACAATTTCGCTTGTAAAATACTTTCTGCTTTTTCCGATTCCAACTGCCGCGCCAGGCAATCCAAATTAAGCAAATTTATTTTGTACTTTCGTATTATAGACTAGCAACGAGATCGCAACAAAAATTTACCCAAGCATTCTCCATTCGACGACGACGGGGCATGTAATTTGGTCTCGGCGACAACAAAATATTTTAGCGAATTAAAAGAAATTGCCTCATCCGACAGCTGTCCGCGCGATCTGGACAATAATGTGGATAGATGGCCAAGCTAACTAAGCTAGTCCATAGGGAATGCGTCATCTCTCTCTCGGATCTAGATAAGTCGCAAGGTTTACGATATAGATCATTCAAGGGAAGGCTTTGTGGAAGACGATAGTATATATAACCCTGTGATTATTGCAAATCTACTTAAGTCTCATCATAGAAAATGATTTCCTTATCAAATGAAAGCAGGAAAGGTGGATAGCATATATATTCTACTTCCAAGAAAGTTGATAAGAATAAGATATTAATATTTCTCTTATCAAAAATATCTCAATTTGTACTGCACTTTGAAAGAAATTATTTCCTCTTTACAAATTTTCATTGTAATTCCTTAAGGAAAGCCACAATAATTTTCCTCTTGTTACTAAACACCTATTTAAACTCTTTTAGTTAGTCAACTGGCCATTATGACTACGTAAACTATGCTAATGTTCTTCTAAAAGGCAATTAGATATTCTTCTGACGTTTGGGGCGGCTGTCTTTGAAACGTAGGAGTAACCAGGGTAGAGGGGGGCATCATGCAGCACGTGTCTGGGCTTCCTCATCGATGGCAACGTTTTGGGGCAATGACAACACAACAAAGCAGCGACAGCTGCGATATTTTGCCTGTTGCCAAGCGATTGCTGACAGGAAGCGCCACTGCGCCAACCAACGCTGCAAACACGCCCACGCCAAAAAGATATTGGCAAAAAAAATGCAGACCTTAAATAAACTCCAGAGAGAGGGGGACAAAAAACAGCAGCGATCTATGACAAAAGATGCGCTTCTGGACAGTTTAGATGACGCGTAAACTAATCTTAAAAGTGTGCCCATTACCGGGAAAGGACAACCTTTCAAAAAACAAAGGGAGCGGATCTTCTCAGCCAAGGCAAACACAGCCTACATCCGGTGGAAAAAATTGTATTTGGGTTTCGGGCAAAGAACCGAAAGCAACAACAACATCAAAAAAAAACAGATGACATATGCCAAAGATATCAAATTTAAATAAGTAAACACTGGACAGGATAGAGGATATAGAAGACTCACCTGTCGTATCCATGTAAACTATTAATATGGCGAAGACAGTCGCGAAGGAGAGCAGGCACAGTGCGATGGGCAATAGCTGGCGATAGGGCGAGGGATTCAGTCGAGGATCTAGCTTCTTGGCTTTGCAGGATTTTGATCCTCCAGTACCGCCGCCGCTACCACCTCCGCCGCCTCCACCGCCCGCACAACCCGCTGCTGTGAGGTGATGATGATGGTGGTGATGATGATGCTGCTGCTGGTGGTGTTGCCTGTGCGAATGCTGGATTTGTTGCGGAGTTGTTCTCGCCCGGGATTCCATGCCATTGGATTTCTGGCAACAGTGGAGCTGCTGCTGCAACGCCTGTGGCAGCCTGGTGGGCGTGGAAAGGGGCGAGGAGACTGTGCTAACCGACGGTGAACTGATCACGCTGCTCTGATCACTTTGGTCACCTCCTCCGCCATCCTGACGCAGGTGCCTGCTCAACGTCCCCGCCGCCGCCAATGTCGTCGATGTGTTTTTGTGGCGCTGCTGCACATGATCTGTCTCATCGATGCCACAGTCTTTGGTTTGTTGCCGGGTCTCTCGTTCCGTCTGCTTCTCCTGCTGGTGGCCAAAGTTCACCTCATCGACATCCTCGATCTCGGTGTCATCATCATCGTCCACTGCCGCATAATTTGTTCGCACGGGCAGGGGTTTCCTGGACTCCGGACTAATGGCGGGATTAGATGTACTGGGTGTGACTTGCTGATGGGCTCCCGATCCTCCGCCTGCACAGCTCCGACTCAGGGTGAACTTCTTAGGCGTTGCCTTGGCATGCCGCCTGCTCTGTGTCGCCGCCGATCGCTGCTGGTGATGATTACTACTAGTGGTGTTGTTCTGCTCCTCCTGTTCCGCCTGCTGCAGCTGCTCCACCGCCAGCGCTGGATGCGCCGAGAACACTTGCTGCGCCATGACTTCTATGTGTGGTTTCCTATGATCTTGAATGCCTCCTGGTTGTGAGTTCTCTCCTACAGCCGCATCCTGGAGAAGAAGAGAAAAAGAACAGAGAATCCAATTAGTCCCAAAACGAAAACTAATTTCATAAAGTGCATTGAACTGAAGCATCATCGTCATCATCATCCCAGCATCCTTACAACAAGATCTCCTTATGTCTGGGAATCTTTTGTCTGCTTGCTCCTTGCTGCTCCTGCTGCTGTCTGAACATATTTTCATTTTTATGAATAGGCAAAAATACAGTCCCAAAAAAAAAAAACGAAAGAAATATGAAAATGAAATGAGCGGAGAACCCAAACCCAGACTTGAACTCGTACTCGAACCCAAACCCGAACCCAAGAGCAGCAAAAGTCGCTCCAAGACGGCGGCCCAAAGAAATTGAATACAAAACTCCACCACCTGTCAAAAATCGAGCGACTGGCAGACAAAAGCCGGGTGCGAAAGAGACGGCAGCCAGACGTAGAGCGAGAGCGGTTGATTGCCAAAGAATTTCAACAACAACGCGTGGTATTTTGTGAACCAAATTAAAAAAGACACAGAACGAGAGCGAGCGAGTTGGGCACCGGAGGGGTGAAAATGCATTGCAGCGAGGCATGAGAATTATAAATGGAAAAGCATTGAAGACGACGGCCAAGAAGAGGGCGATCGAGCGGAGCAGGAGAAGGGGATCCGAGGAGGCGGAGGGCCACAGTGGAAGTGCAAGCCGTTTTGTGTACTAATGTGAGTACCTTACAGCACGCTAAAAATAATTCTTTTTTACTTTTTTAAGAATAAATATTCAGAATTTAAAACAAAAAGGTTAGAAAATGTGTTCTGAAATACTAATAATAAAACTTAATACATTTTTTATAGTTTTTTTAATGGGAATTAATCACTTAATAAAAATAATTCAAATCAGAATCACAGATTTTAAAATCATTTTTTCAGTAAATCATAAAATTTGTTTATTATATTTCAATGTCGCTGCTAGTATTTTGACCACCAACGTATGGGTGTAGTGCCGTGTACTTGTGCGCCTGCGCAACAGACGCGCGAACGAGAGAAGCCATGCTCGGCTTGAACGGGAGCGAGTGAAACGGCAAGCTGTGCGAGTGGAATCGAGTTCATCAACTGGCAGTGGAAACAGCAGATGTTTTTCCAATGTTTGGCGGCTGTTGCTGCTGTTGGCTCTTATTCATTCTTCCTCTGCCCTGCCCTGCCCCTCAAAAAAAAAAAAAAATGCACAAATTAACAAGAGATTTGTAATGGACAAAGCAACAGGCAGGGATTGCAATGAGCTATTGGTGGTTATAGAAAGATTCCTGAAGGTGTACTTCGTCTTCATCTCTTTTGATCATCCTTTAAGTACTTTTATTAATATTATAATATCATCTATGACATCATAATGTGTTATGATTATTTATTTTATTAACATTATCCCTTGATTTAAGGGTATTTGCGTACCTCCTTAAACTTGAAACACCCTCCATTCATGTAATACCTTCTCTTTTAGTTTTTGCTTTATGAACCATAACATCTTCTGGTTTGGATGTTGTAGTATTTTTTGCCCTGCCTCGTAAAGCTCCTTTTGTGCTAAGGGCAAGGCTGCTGCCAACAAACCAACAGATTCGGAATAAGAATAAGAATCAGAATCAGATCGCTGACCAACAGCAGCAGCAGCAGGGTGGCATGGTCTTGGTTGCATTGACTTATGTGGATGCCGCCGCAAGGCATTCGCGCATTCATTATCCATTACGCGTGCGCCCAGTTCTTGGTTCCTGGGATCCCCATTCTTAACTCGACGACTTCCCCCCTCGTTTCCCCTCCCCCCTGGAGAATGGAATATGTTTTGTATGTTTTGATTTGCTGGAATTTATTGAAACATATATCCCAACGATGGTCGGGTCTGCGAGGCCTGTGATTAACTGGCCTGCTGTTGGATGCTCGCATTTAATGATACTCTACACAGCCTTCGTTCGTTAAACGATATAGTTCCTGGAATGTGGCTGGCTTAAATGGGTCCATCTGAAAGATAAGTCAAGCATCTGCAGGTTGCACTTGCAAGTGGGCAGTTTGAGAGTCATTAAATCTCTGAACGAGTTATCCATTTAATCGATATGCAGCATGTTATTAGCCACTTTTAACTTAACTTGTTTAAAAAACTACAAAAATATATAAACTAAATTTCCTTAAAAAAAAACGGAAATATTTTCATTCTTCGTTTTAATGCTTGATTTACAAAAGTTTTTCCCACAACTATCAGCTTTTTTAAAACCTATTCTACACACTTTCTGGCAAATGATTTTCATGGTATCGAACAATTAAGATGCATTTTCACAGCTCTAAAAGAAACTTCAAGTTTATGGACGCGTTTAATGGGCTTTTAATTCAGTAATTAGTTGGCTATGTCTTTGATTTGCAGTGCGTAAATAAAGCGCCATGAAATCGAATTGAAACGGAGCGAAAAACTTTGAAGTTGGCTACGGAAAGGGCCCACAGATACATGGTATAGATATATAGATATACTGATGGCGGTCGGTATGGCGTGTGATTTACGGCTTGTCGCAGCACATGAAATCGATCGATTTGAGAGAGAGAGAAAGAGAGACCGACCAGGAGAAGAAAAACAACAAAATAGAAAATCAGAGGAAGCCGACAGCGTACGGATATATCTATGCATCTTCATAGCTATATATCTATAGATGTATCCGTATCTGCTTCTATATATCTATCAATAGCTGTGTGCGCGCTTTTGCCGGCGTCGCTTTCATTGATGCTGCCCTTTTTTGTGTCTGCTGGCTGTCTGGGAAATCGTCGACTTGGCAACAACATCTATATATCTGTCTATATATGCTGTGACATAGGCAACACCTCCCTGCTGTTGGCGCCAGTTGGAGAGGTCACCCCAAGATTTAAGTGGTCTGAGGGTAAAAACGATTTAGGAGACGATGGCGATTTAGGCCTTGCAATTTTAGCCATTTGCCGTTTGTGCAACATATTTTGCGGCCCCAGTTCCGAGAATCGCCAAGCCAAGCTGAACAAACAACAAAATCAGGAGGGGAAATGGAAAGGAAAGGTGAGCCAAGGTGGAGACAAAGTGGCATAAACACAGAGAAAAACTAGTATTTACTTTTCTTATAACTTTTCATTAACTTTAAGCCATGACTACTTTAAAAGTTGTTCAAACTCTGTCATTTTTTTAAATGTATCTATGAAAAGAATGATTAAAGAATTTTGAAATTTTTATTTCGAGAAATGATGACACTTTGTTCTCTGTGTAAAAACCAAACAGCAGCAGAGGAAGAACCAGCGAGCGAACATGCCACAATAATGTTTTGCGGTTAATGATCGTGCGATGCGAGGTACGTATAAATGTAACACAAAGCCAGAAAGAGAGGGCGAACGGCACAAGACATTTTGATAAAACATTTACAAACGCACTCAACCAGAACTCCATCATCCCAGCAGAGCCACACAAAAAAAGCAACACACTACCAACACAGTTAGAAGGAAGGTACATATAACCACCAAGCTAAATTCTACACAAAAAACTAAAAAAACAAAGCCAAGAACAAGACGGGACAAGAAGCGTTGACGATGGGCAGTCAAGTAAGAAAAAGGCAAGCAGCTCGTAGAATTATTCTGCTACGCTTTTAACCATATGGTTTATTTATACAAAAACACCAACAACGGAGGAACAAGATCAAGAAGTGGAAGGCAGGCAGTCAGTCCAGGCCAGGCCAGGCCATTCGCCAACATTGGTAACAACAAAGTGGCAGACAATAAAAATGCAATTCTGAAAAGCAGCCAGCAATAACAACAGCTCGGCGAACATTGCACATAGGAATTCTTCGTCTTCTACACTTGCAACTGGGAAGGAAGACCCATGGAAAACGGACAGAAAACTGGCCAGGAGATCTTGTGGATTACGAAAGTTTAGTCGGCTTGATAGAGGCGGGATTCCATTCGAAAATGGAGATGTTGTTTTGGGAGAAAGGAGTTTTAGTTCAGCATAAGTGCTTTTTAGTGGGCAGCCCCTTGATCATTTAACAATCTTCATTAGGAAAAACTGTTTTTATATTATATCAAATATCCTTGAAAGAAGCGTACTATAGTTTTCTTGCACACACAACTCCTAGTCCCTTAATTTTCCCTAAATAAACCCTAAAAATGTTCACTCCCACTTGTCTCCTTAAAGACCATCATAAATAACTGCCCCATTCCTGTCAGATAAACTCACCAACGCCTTAAGTGACCAACCAAGCAACCAACCCTCTTCTCTTTACCCTAAAAAGTTGTTGAAATTTTCCAATTGCTGCAATTGTTTCAAGTACTCGCCCTTAACAAGATCTTCTCTTCCCTTTAGGTTTTTGCCCATCTGATGGCTACTTAGAACTGAGAGCCACCCCGCTGGACAGCTCAGACCAAGACCTCAGCTCCGCCACGCTGAACGCGCTAATGAAAAAATTGCTCTCGCCAGGTAAGGCAAGAAGGTATTTCGGAAATTTATTGGTAGCACACAGAAAAAATATACGTAACTGCTGGCCAAATGTGGTGTAGCATATGTTGCAGACTTCGTAACTGGTAACTGGTAACAGGGACTTGGGTCTTGGACCTGTGTGGTCGTCGTTGGCGGCGTTGACTTATCTTGGCTTGTTTATCGGCCAGCGTCGTCGGCGTCGTCGTTTTAATTGTTTGTGCCCAAGGCGTCGGCTTGTAGGAGTTTGCCAGCCCAAAAGTTGGCCGGCAGCAGCAGCAACAGCAGCAGCTACAACGGTTATTTCAGCAAGTCGTTCTAGTAAATTAGCACATAAAAATGCGGCTGGAAAGTTGCCAAATAAAAAGCGGCATTGCCAGCAGTTGAGGAATCTAGGGTAAGTTGGGAATGGCAAATGGGTTCCATTGCAGCCGCTGCTATTTTATTGCATTTGCCTTTGCATGTTGGGAATTTATTACCAAAAAGTCAGCAGGGGGCCAAAACCAAGTAGGAGCCAGGAACCGGGAACAGGGCTTCTTGGCAGTTGCTTCGGTGTACCCGGACAGATGGC